GCAGGAGTACAAGTAGTAAACCCTAATTGGGTTGTACCCCATATGGGCTACCCCACTACAGCCTAGACAATATGCAGTACATATAGTTTGACAGAAACACTCTACTTTGGTTTGTTTTTTCCCCCTAATGCACGCAAATGGGCTCGTAACTACCATGTTTGCGTGTAAAATTGATTGGAATATGATTTTCCAGCCTCTTCTACGCCCAATCAACCAAATAGCTAACAAATGAAGTCATTTGCAAACCTTCAAAAAAACCTTGAAACTTCATCTTGTTGCATTCATGTCTCTACTCAAACGGTTTTACCTCATTTGATGATCATTACAGCGTCACTCATAATGGTGTCATGCGAATGGCACAAAAATGGTTTGAGACCCTTCTTATGTCACTAAAAACTCAGTGGTACGAAGAAACGTTGTAAAAAAAAGCTACGCAGCGTTGAAACGACATCGTTTGCCATCATGCGACAGATATAAATTTAGGTTGACACCATTTCGATGTTACCTTTGACATAGTGGTGCGAATATTCCTTGCAAAACAAAAAAATACAGCGTTGAAACGGCATGGTGAGCCGGCATATTTGCGAACAAAACATTTTTTTAATAAAATTAACGTCTCATCGATCACAACAGACAAATGCTGTAGTTATATATGTAATTGAAGCTAATGAAATAGTTGGGTGAGAAATAGGACCTAAAAAATGCATGTCTAAACATACAAAGCTGTTTACAATTTAAAAGGCAGATTACAACAATCAATTTTCATCACCAATAATTTCTTAGTGCACTGTAACGGAGACTATCTTTAGCGGATTAAGTCCACCCAAGCCCTCGCAAGCCGCTGCTTCTTGGAAGTATATCCAAACCCTCCCATCCTTACAGAGCAGTAGGTTTGAATCTAACGACCAATAGCAATCGCTCGAATGGCTGTTTGGAAGTTTCCTGGACGAAGCTGAAATAACTCGACCAATAATATCGCTCGCGAGGGTGGCGTCGAAATTTCGATGATGCTGCACCGCGCTGATTCCCGAGTCGCGAACCCAGAAAAGCAACCTGAATGTAGGTTCTGGAAAGTTACTCTCTCGCAAGCCCTAAAAAACATCCCACCCCGACCTCACACATTTTGGGATGAGGTTGCCTTGTGAAGGGGGCTCTTAAGTGATTCTTGCATTTCGTGGAGGTTTCGTCAATTCGCGTCGGGCAAAAAGGGCTTATAACAAAATTTTGTAACTCACCGTTGACTGTTTGACTTCGGTCTCTTCAGTTTCTGTGGTTCGTATTGGTCGACGTGCTTGTAACGTGGGTGCAACTGCCCGGCAAAAAACCCCCGCGTGCAAGGTTTCTGGAACGTGCGAGGCAATTTCGCGTGCAGGGGTTAGGCATATTGTGTATCGTGCTTCCATATCTCCTCATAAGGGTGCTTACTAGGGCTTGGGATAATGGCGGGCCGATTTCGTGCGTTTATGAACGACTAAGTTCAGCCTGCTGCGCGATGCTGCACCCGGGATTGTCGAGAACCGCTCCTCACCGTTTCAAAGCACTTTAAAACGCGCTGAACGACCGATAGACATGTGTACACCCTCTTATTCGATACAGCGGGCTCCAAAAGAGTTGCCAAAACCATACAGTGGCAGAAGTTTTGGGCCCCCACTAACAGATATGCGTTATAGTGGCGCGCAAATTCAGTAAATCTACTGTTTCGGCAGTGCAATCATTCACATACTGCCGAGTGTGTGGAGCCCAGAAACTTCCTAAAGCCTTAACACAAGTTCGACTGCCAAATCGAGGGACTTCGTTGAATTTCGCAAGACCAGCTCTGGCGAATGAAGATCGGGGATTCCGTTCGCATGTTTTACCTATTTACAAGCCTAGCAGATACGACACGAGGAATTATTGCACCAAATTTTCGGATTTGGTTGGGGCTGCGCGATTCGTCGATACAGTCGCAAAATGGGCTGGCCGAGGGGCGATGTGCTCCTATAACGTTAATATCGCCCGGCAGAACAAACAACTGCCCCCGCCCAAAACGCGGCGCGATACTCAAAAGAATATGAGGGTGTATTTTGGGGTACATTCTGGTTCCGACCGGGACTACTGATAACGGGGAAACTCAGACCTGGAAACTCGGAAAACCAGAAATGCAGGTTCGGAAGGCAAGAATGTAGAGGATCGGAAGACTAGAAAGTGATCTGGCAAGAAGCCAGTTGTGGGAAAATTGTGGGAGAACAGGCTGGAACCAGTGAGGGAGCACATAGGCACAGACCACTACTGTACAGCGTACTGTACTCTGGTGCCGTTTCTTTGGCGAACTGTGCATGGGACTTCACGGTCAGCGCGGAGGCGGTGTAGAACATCGGTTTATAGGTACCCATCGGTTTGGTTGGCATAGTTTTTCACGTTTCTTGTGTTCAAGAACACAGTATTGTACTAGTGAACTGTCAACTTCAGTCAAGAAGAACGAAGTCTCCATTCTGTACTGTAGTCTCGCAAGAGTCGCATCGCATGGCAATAGAGGTGACAACCCAATAAAGGCTATACGGTATTTGAGAGCAAGTACACGACAAAGTAGGTAATTTTATAGAAACATATATTTCCTCTTATTTCAATCATTCGAGCTATTAGGTTCTTGTTCTTGGCTTACCAGTAGCGAGATCTGTCAGAGGTCCACTGGAGATCCCCGATTGATCCTAGGGAAGGGTTACAGGCACAGTGGCCTGGGGGGTTATGGGCGCACTCACCCGCTACACAAACAAGCCCTTTTATCCCAGTGGTTAGTGACTGGGATTCTGACATGCTATCAGAGCGGTTACGCTCCTGGCCTGTGGGCCCGCCTGCTTCCGCTGCCTTCCTGTGTGTCGCGCGTCCCGTGGCGCGCGATGTTCGTTTTTTTCTTCCCGCCGCGCGCTCGGGGCGCGCGGCCGAGGCGCGCGGCGGTTTCCCACCGTCGAAGCGCCCCCCGTCGCCCGTCGAAGCGCTCCCCCCCGTCGCCCGTCGAAGCGCCCCCGTCGCCCGTCGGAGCGCCCCCCGTCGCCCGTCGAAACGCCCCCGTCGCCCGTCGAAGCGCCCCTGGGACCCGCGCGCGGCCCGTACGGGCTGCGCCAGGCCCGCGCGCGGCCCGTACGGGCTGCGCCAGGCCCGCACGCGGCCCAGGCAGCGCGCGCGCGCCTCGTCCGGCCTGCGGCAGGCCCGTGCGCGCGCCTCGTCCGTCCCCCGAGCTTCTGCCGGCGCCCCACCCCCGCTACTGCCCGCGTTCCTGTGTTAGGGTTTGGGGGTGGAGGGTATGGGGGTGCCGTGAGTGTGAGCCGTCCCCTGCTCCTCCTCCTCCTCCGTCTCCCACTGCTGCAGCTGCTGCTCAGGGGGGTGGGTGTGTGGGAGCCGAGGGTTTAGGGTTTAAGGGGGGTGCCATGGGAGTGGAGCTAGGGTTTCAGCAGGGGGTGTGTGAGAGGGGTGTGGGACGGTCGGGGGAGGTTGAGCGGAGGCCGCCGTCGTGTCGTCTGCAGCGCCTGTATTCCGGGGTTCTGTTAGCCACCGGTAGCTCAGAGAGCCGGTTGCACCTGTCGCCCGTGGGTCCGTTGCTCCTGTCGCTGCTGATCAGACGCAGAGCCTGTTACTCCTGTATTCCGGGGCCCTTGCTCCCGGTAGCCACTAGAGTTGCACCAGAGCCGTCTGTTGCCCGTGTGTCTGCAGCTTCAGTCGTCGCCTCCACTCTTCTCTCCTCTCGCCAGCCCTCCTCCTCCTCACTTGCCCTCTGTGACTGCCTCTAGCTTTGCTCATAATTGTGAACTTTAAACTATTGCTTCTTGAACTTGTGCTCAGAATGTGTGGTGACATTGTGATCCACCCTGAGCTTGTACTGCTTTGCTTGCTCTGCTGATTACACCCCACTTTGGCTATGGGGGTGTGTCAGAATATTATGCTCTAGCCTGTAGTGGGGTGCTCTATAGCGAGTACAACCCTTCTAGGGTTTGCTATTTGTATCCCCATTCTTGCTAGTGCAAGCCCTCCTTTGCTCGTTTCTCTCTTGCCTAGCTAGGGTTTACCTAGCTATGGCTCATGATTCTAGCTCCTATTTTGACATGGTATCAGAGCGAAGGTCTCGGGTTCGAATCCCGGTGTGTGCACCTCGAGCATCCCAGTGCGGGGGGGTGTCAGAGGTCCACTGGAGATCCCCGATTGATCCTAGGGAAGGGTTACAGGCACAGTGGCCTGGGGGGTTATGGGCGCACTCACCCGCTACACAAACAAGCCCTTTTATCCCAGTGGTTAGTGACATTTAGGGTTTCAGATCCTAGGGTTTCATTTAGCCCAACAAAAAACCACATTGACCGAGGGACTCTGGATTGCCTTAAATCAGATCAGGCCCCTTAGAAAGCTCCTAAGACTTGCTGAACGAACGCCGTATCGGTCGAGCGCCGCGCTAGAATCTTCGCACCAGCTGGGCGGAGGTGTGGAGCAGCGAAATGTCTCTAGTGGCTTCATGCACATCAGTCACAGGTTTTGATGGATCCACATCGGGGTCTATGATTTACCGTATCTGGAGGAGGGGCTACATCAATCACTCTAAGGTAATTGTAGTCATGACATAAGATTGAAACGTAACCATCCACACGTAATAAAACAAGATATCTGATTCATCAGGGGGAGTCAAAACACCATACAACTCTGAAAATCAGAGCTGTGAAAAATAGCCCCACAGAAGGGGCTACTTGCTTTCAAAGAAGGTCCGAACTTTCACCGTGTTGTTGAAGCACACACGCCTTTCTTTCTTGGGCAACTGCGGCGAGGAGGACCTGCTTGCATTGCCGGTGTTGCAACCAGATACAGAGACCTTCTGATTTGGTGATCCTGGTGCCACGCTCTTGCCATTGATGACATTGCCACTGGTGGCATTGCCATTGGTGCTTCTTATAATTCTACTGCTGCCTGCGGCTTGCACACGAATGTCGTTGAGATCCCCATTTCTGCATGCGGCCAATGCTGCTGCTCCTAGTGCTGTTGTCTTAGTGGGTAGGGTGGCGGAAGCAGCATTGCACTTCAGCGGTGCATCGGAGTGTGGCGAAGAAGAACGGACCGAAGCTGGGAGGCGCGTGACACGCTTGGATCGTGACAGTCGAGAGGTAGGTTTTGACGGTGGCGGCAGAGAGACGGGCTTTGAAGTCGACAGCACGGACGGTGGTGGGGGGGACAAGGGAGGAGGAGAGAGGGGAGGAGAGAGGGGTGATGTCGGCGATAAGGAGGCACGGCCACTGCGTGGAGTCTCCAGCGAGCATGCTGCTGCCACATTGGGAGACTGGCATGCCGCTGTCACATGGGGAGACTGCGACTGTGGCTGTGACTGCTTTCCCAGCGAGGATTCTCTTCGTAACCCATGTGGTGACTGTACGGCCATGTAGACACGAGGAAAAGGCGAAAAGGGAGGCACTGAAGTAGTCGCCTGCCCCGCCACTCCAGAAGTCTCCATCACTGCTTCGACAGACCGAATGCGCCGGTGCCTGCCCAGGCGCCGTCCCCACAAGGTATCAGAGCCGTCTGTCCGATCTCATTGCCCTATGACTGCGGAGTGGCTCTGACTTCGCGGCCACGTGGCATTGGATTTAGGGCCGTGGATCTGATCCAACCGCTTCAGTGCTTCAGTAGGAAGCGGTGACGTGGCAGCAGCAGCGGTAGCAGTGTCGGCAGCAGCAGCAATGGCGGCGGCAGCAGCGGGAGGTGCGGAATATTGCGTTGTAGGAGGGCGGGATAGGCGTGGTGGGTCGCAACGTTCCTCTGCACCGCGTGTGTTATCTTCACCACCAGGATAACAAATAATCCAGCACCATGATAAGTAATGTCCCCGTTAGTAGCACCAGGATAGGCAATATCCCCGTTAGTAGCACCATCCAGGGACTCCGGAGCGGCACAGGCTCCGCACCCCGCGGGAAGCTCTTGAAATCCGCTGAACGAGTGCCGGCGACGGCGTTGGCGGGACTCGAGCGCCGCGCGGGAGATTTCGAGCGGACTGCGCGGACTGCGCGGAGGCGTGGGGAAAAGAAATGCTTCCGAGCCAGCGTCGCTCACTGCGTTGCTCACTGCGTCGCTGGCTGCGTCGCTGACTGCGTCGTTGATGGCGTCGCTGACTGCGTCGCACACAGCTGTTGGCGCCGCATCACCATCCGTTGACAGGAAAGGCCGCATGTCCGACTCGCCAACGAAGCGCGCCATCACGACCATCGAAGCCGGCCCTTCCGACAGATCTGGGCCGTCGATTTGGACAGCAGGCTGGGACGACGAGCTGCACGCCGCATGGTAGCGGCGAGACGATGACGCGACTGCGAGCATTTTGGTCAGCTCTGGGGGAAGGCGTGCGCTTGTAGGCGAGACAACCGCGGTAGCGTGACGTTGACCCTTGAGCAGAGATCGCAAGGATTCGAACCGCAGCAAACCGCAGCAAAGCCGTGCGGATCCCAATCCCAATGCCTGGTGGTGGAAACAGTAGAGCCTTGCAGTGCTGGTAGCAGTGACTCGATAGTAATCCGAGAGTCGCTACTTCCGGGTCGTACTTCGAGAGATAAAGAGCCCTCCTTGCCTGGCCGTCCTCAATCCGTACTCCGAGAGACGTTCCTACCGGGTGGTGAAGAGCAACAGACTTGGTTCGACGAATTCGGTCAGGTAAATGGAGGTGAGGAACTGTGCCAGGTGAGGAACCGCGCAAGGTGAGGAACTGCGCAAGGTGCGGAACTGCGCAAGATGAGGAACTGTGCAAGGTGAGGAACTGCGCAAGGTGCGGAACTGCGCAAGGTGCGGAACTGCGCGAGAAATAGGAGTTCCCTATGAGGGTCAGTGGAGAGGAGGAGAGTCTGAATCCGCGCGTGTCAAGTGTTGGGAGCTGGTTAGGAGCTTCTGAACAAGATGCACAAGTGGCTGGTTCTGTAATTCCCTTTATAATGTGCATACGTCGCGTCGCTTCGGCGTGAAACTCAACGATGCTGGACAATGTGGAAGGTCAAAGGATTCTCTCACTCGCCTCGGAATCCTCCGGCGCCGCGAAACAGTGGAGAGGAGACAGCCTGTCTCGCCGAATCGTCGTTTTGAAGCAGAGTGTAACAGAGAGTGTATGGGACTAAGAGCGTGTCCGAAGTGAAGCGTCGAATGGATGACGCTGGATGTCGGTAAATGTCAACCCTCGGATCGAAAGTTCCAACCGTCAGGATTTGCCGACATCGGATGTCAACGGATGTCACGTTCACTTCGGACCCGCTCTAACAGTGCGACGACTTAGGACCTGACTCGATGCGATAGCCATTGCGGAAAACGAGCTGCAGAGGCAGAGTCTATGGGACTAACAGTACGACGACACAAAATCGCCCTCCGCCTACGAGATAATATCAGTGTGAGCAAGACATATTCATCATAGCGTCGGTTGGAGAAAAGGCTGTTACACCCTCATTCTCAGTCTGTGCACAATCGCCACATGAACATGCCAGCTGTAATGACATCAATGCGTCCAACATGGTCCAAGAACATACGCTGTAAGCACATTTGCCGTACTCAACCGAAGGAAAACCAACTTTAAGTTTACATAACGTTGTTTACCGTTCCCTAAAATGCATTTGCCCGCCACCTACCTAGAGTTCGGCTCCAAGCACCAGATCGCTAGGGTCCAAGCAACAGTACGCACTGTAGCCAGGGCTCCCAATTGTGCGTAGACTGAGAATGAGGGTGTATTACGACTCGAGATTAGAAACGTTTCGAAGCGCAAAAGGAGGCGATGTAGAAAAATGATTGAACTACAGGATTAGTTGTAATGCTGCCATTCGCCTCAAAGGGCCATTTGTCTTGCTGACGCCTCTTCACTTCAAGCAGCAGATTAGGGATTTCTTCCTTCCCTCCTTGCAGTTTGGGGTCGCTGTCTCTGCAGGGATCGAGGTTATGGCCCACGCAGTCCAGTCAGCCCTATCTCTCCACCCAGATCGGGTCGTGCTGGAACTGGATGTGGCTAATGCTTTCAACTCATTCAGCCGTTTCGCTATGTTCAACGCTCTGCGCGACTCCCCGTTCTCCAGCCTCATCCCTTTCTTCCGCCTCTTCTACGCCTCCCCCTCTCCACTCCATTACCGAAGCGGCCCACTTATTGAAACGCTTCAGTCATCATCAGGTGTTCGACAGGGCGATCCATGTGGGCCATTCTTGTTCGCCCTTACCCAGCATCTGGCCATCTGCCCCATTCAACAGCAATCTCCAGCAATCTTCATCACTTCCTACGCGGATGACACGTACATGGTTGGCCCTGCACAGGAGGTGTTTCCTGCCTATACAGCACTTACAGCTCGTCTCAGCAGCCTCGGCCTGAGGGTGCAACCATCGAAATGCTCCCTTTGGGCCCCTTTGGACCTCCCTTCTGGCCTCACACCTCCACCAGACATCGTCATTGCCCCTAACGATATCACGGTTGCGGGAGTTCCGATCGGTTCAGATACCCACATCATCTCTACAGTACGGGACAAGTTACTCTCTTTCTCCTCATCACTGCCTCTCCTACATGACCTTCATGACCCTCAGACTGCCTCTCGCATCCTTTCTCTCTGCGTCTCCGCCCGCCCCTCATTCCTCCTCCGCACAGTTGCGCCTTTCCCCGAGATAGAAGAGCTCTATACTGACTGGGACAATGGCTTGCTTGACCATTTTGTTCGCCTCATCGGCCTTGACTACTGGCCCCCTACATTTGACCACACTGCCACAGCACATCGACAGGCATTCCTTCCCATCCGCCTTGGAGGGTTTGGCCTCCGATCATCAGCTGCAGCTGCTATTCTTAGTTACCTGTGCAGTTGGGCACAGACAGCTTCATTGCTCTCCTCATGCTTCACCATCCACGGTTCTCACATTTTCCACCCCTTTATCACTTCAGACACCATGGACCGCCTTGACCCATGCATTCCGAAGCCCTTATCCAAGCTTCATCCGTCCATCCGGCAGCACTTCCCCACCTGGCCTGCACTCCACGTTGGCTACCCACAGAAGCTGTATTCCTTTCTCTCACAACACCTGGACGCTGTCATGCTCGAGCGCGTGCGGTCCACAGTAACCTCCCCCCAACATTTGGCCCGTTTGACCTCCCTCCAAGGGCCCCATGCTGGTGACTGGCTCACTGTGGCTCCATGTTCTCCGCACATGCAGCTTTCATCCACGGAGTGGTGCATTGCAGCTGCTATTCGTCTTGGTCTCCCCATTCCACACCTCTCATCCACCCGGGCATGCACTTGCGGCTCGTCATTCACGGATCCTTCAATTGTCTCACATGTCCTCCGCTGTCCATCTGCTAACGAGCCTACCAGGGTTCACGACGCTATCAAGCATGAGGTTCACCGCATCACATCGGAGCTTGGTTATGTGGTGCAGTTGGAGGATTCTCATCTTCTTGCAGGACGCCGCCCTGACATCAGTTGCCATGACATTAGCTCGGGGACAACATGGGCATTAGATGTTTCGGTTGCCGATCCCCAGCATGGCCCCCCAAACTCCAAAACTGCATCTGTCATCGGCTCAGCAGCATCTGCTCGCGAAACCGAGAAACGGACCCTGTATGCGTCTACGCTACAACACCGACCAGACGTGAAGCTTCTTCCTCTTGTCCTCGAAACCTTCGGTTGCTTTGGTACGTCATTCCTCAGCTTCATCAAGGACTGCAGCCGTCGAGGGGCGACACGGCTTCGAGACATGGGTGGTACATCCGACCTCATTCCAGAGCTTTTCGAGACGAGCTACTTCAAGCGCATTTCTTTGGTGCATCAGCGCGAGCAGGCCAGAACCATTTGCCGTCGGGCACAAATACGCTACAGTACTGACACGCCTTCCGCGCCACTGGAACCCACTCCACCTTCCCTGGCTGATTTTGCGTACCTCGGTGTTGGTTCTTGAGACCTCGTCGGGGTCTCTGTCCTAGGATAGCAGGCAACGCTGGTTAGCTTCTTATGCTCGACACCATTTGTATTCTCTGTACAAATATGATATTGTAAATAAAGTGGTCATTCATTAGACTGGATAGGTGCTAGGAAGGTGGTACCGTAAGGTAAAGACAGGCTGGAATGGAAACCACGAGAGGCAGCACAAAGGCGGGCGGGGAGCAACAAGCCCTGCCCCGTGACTCCCCGCCAAAAAGTGCCCAACTCAGGGCGCGTTCTTGGCTGGTGTCAGGCTCAAGACACAAGCTTTTTCGACGATTTCGATCATTCCAAATCTCATCGTTCAAATCGCAACCATTCACCCCATTCGTGCCTGGACACCAGACACCAGCCGGAGCGGATTCGCTTTGCCATTGTGAGTGTACTGTGGCAGACCTGCACGCCATAGTCAACGCAATTAGGGCTGGGAATTCAATTGAAGTGGGGACAGCGCTGGCTTCTGCCAACTGGAAGGATGGTGTTTGGTGAGTGCTGCCGTCAACATCGGGGGTTCCTGGCTGGGCTGGGCTGGGCTGGGCTGGGCTGGTTCGGATCGACCTGTTGGGACTTGTCACTGGAGTGTGGTGCTGTGGGGTTCCTTGGGCGGAAGTGAGGTGTATGGCATGGCAAGATGCCCTACGTGTTGGACTTCAGTTCGGTACTGTAATACTGCAAATTGGATGTGCAGTAACCAATGTTGTGATGCCAGCTCGGCATCAGTGATGACGTTGGGTAGTGTTGAACCGCCACTCACAAAGAAGCAAGTCACAAGAACCACTCTCGGGGCGCCACGCAACAAGATCTATCGAAAAGTCGTTTCGGGCAAGACAGCTCAGAACGACAGAATGGATGGGTACACGCACGTGTCGTTCCTCAGTTTCCAGCTTTCTGGCTTGGAGCCAAATTTCTTTGGGCAGTTTACGACTGTGGCGCTCTATCATACAACCCTCATCGCGAAAAAAAAAAAAAAACCTATACTGCAGATAATCATGCAACAAAATATTTCATCCTACTAACCTAAACATATATGTATCAACTTAGCTTCATCCATTCTGTCAAATAACTAGCATTCTGAAGCACCTTGCCTCCACACATGCAACTTTGTACTGCAGAACAGCCTCCCTAGGTCATTCTCGAAATTCAAGTTTGCAATGTTGCCATTGACGGAAATACCATAGAAAAAATAGTCAGGGCAGCATTCCTGCCACAAGCCGGGGCAATGGAAAAAACTGCTTGCTTGCACCGTGCTGCTACATGTCTGTTACACTGATGCAAGAGCGTTGTGGAGTTCTTCTAAATTTCTGCTAGATTGCTGCTAGTATTGACTCTACTGATCAGGAAAAAAGCATTACCTTGACTGGTATCAGCAAATTCCCTCTCCTCTCATCCATCCAATCACCATCCAATTCTCTCAATCCGCTAACACTCAATTTCTAACCACACACTCTCCTCACACCATTCCTCACTCCTCTCCCCTTCCCTTATTACACACTCACTTGTCTCTCCCCAACTACTCCCTCACTCCTCCCATTCCTCTCCCCCTTATTTCTGCACATGCTCTCCTCCCTTTTCCTCGCATCACCCACCCCACGTCCTCATCTCCCCTCTCATGTGTCACCCCCCCATTACTCCCTCATTCCTCTCATTCGCCTCCCCCCACTTCTGCCGCACGCTCTATTTTAGAGGCGCCTAAGAAATGCAATCACTCGTCGTCTCCCCCCCACTTCTGCCGCACGCTCTCCTCCCTCTTCCCCGCATCACCCACATCCCCACTGTCGCCCGCAGCAGCACCAGAGGTGGCAGCACACTCCTCTCACTTGTCTCCCCCTATACTCCCTCACTCCACTCATTCGTCTCCCCCCCACTTCTGCCGCACGCTCTCCTCCCTCTTCCCTGCTTCACCCACATCCCCACCATCGCCCGCAGCAGCACCAGCTGTGGCAGCACGGGGGGTGTAGATCTCCTGTTGCTGCGAACGCGGCCCCTTAAAGCCCCGAAGCACGAAAAGAATGCAGTTGATTACGAAGGCCACGATGCGAAGGCCTTGTGTGAACAGCAGGTACTGTGGGGAAGAGGGAAGGAGTGCAAGGGGCAGGGGTGAAGAGGGGTGAAGAGGGGTGAAGAGGGGAAAAGAGGGGTGTGTGAATGTCGTGGTGCTGTGCGTGCGGTCCCTTAAAGCCCCGGAGCGCAAAGAGAATGCAGTCAAGGAGAAACGCCACGATGCAAAGACCCTGCGTAAATAGCAGGTACAGGATTGGGAAACACCCTGGGTTGAAAGTGGGGGGCTGGGATGGGTGGAGTTGGTGTTGCCGATTTTCGCAAATTGAGTCGAAACAACACGTCAAAGCTCCCCCAACCACGCCCACAATGTCAAGCACACCCGCAGTGCCAAGTGCACTCGCAATGTCAAGTGCACTCACAACGGTGATAAATTTTTTAACAGCTTACGAGACGCCTCAAAAGTCACTCACAATGCCAAGGACCTGCTTCGTCACCTCCCACCGCTCATCCCCCGCGCCCTCCATCCCCCCTTTCCCCCCCCCTCTCCAACACACATTTTGAGTTGAGACCTCTCAGAACAGGTATCAGAACGCACTGACACTCACAATGCCAAGAATGCCACCAATTGCGAACAGAACCTGCTTCGTCTCCTCCCACCGCTCATCCCCTCCGCCGCTCACACCATCCCCATCACCTCCCCCCCCCCTCCGCCTCCCCCCCAGCCCCTCCCCCCGCCCTCCCCTCCCCCTCCGCCCTCCTCCCGCCTCTTAATCTCCGCGTCCCACTTGTTCAGAAGGTCCTTCTTGCCTGATAAAGCATCCTCTAACGCCTTTCTCGCCGCGTCCTGGGGATGGGTCGTAGAAAAGGGAAATTGGGGAGAGGGGAGATCAGGCTTCGCTTATTAATTTCCGCGATCCCATCGCGTCCCACTTGTTCAAGGTCCTTCTCGCCTGATATGCGTCTCCAACGCCTTTCTCGCCGCGTCCTGGGGTGGGGACGATGGGGGAAGGGGGGAGGGAGGGAATGGGGAGGAAAGCGGACGGAAGAAAATTAGATCTCGCTGCATAATCTCCGCGTCCCACTTGTTCAAAAGGTCCTTCTTGCCTGACAGGGCGTCTTCCAACGCCTTTCTCGCCGCGTCCTGGGGATGGGAGAATGACGAGCGATGAGGGGGTAAAGGGAGGAGGGTGGGAGAAGGGGAGGCGTAAGAAGCAGCGTGCGTCTTAATCTTCACGTCCCACTTGTTCAAAAGGTCCTTGTTGCCTGATAGAGCATCTTCCAACGCTTTTCTTGCCGTGCCTTAGAAGTGGGAGAAGGTGGGTGGGATGGGGAGGAAAAGGGAGGGTGGAAGGGGAAGAGGACAACGCGTCTCACTTGTTCACACGATCCTTTTTCCGGATTGAGCATTTTTCTAATAGCACCTTACCCTGTGAAGGAAGACACGAACGAGAAGGCTCAGCGAGTGAAATACGAGTCGAATTCAAAACCCTCGATTAGCTTATGGAGATAATAACGCGAGATGGCTCACCATATGAGGGAATGTGAAAGTTTCTTTTGCCTTTCTTGCTGATCGTGTCGTGGCATTTGAAGGATAAGTAAGAACTCCAACATTACCCCGAAAAACACAAGTAGCTCACCTTTTTATCCGCTCTGCAAGCCGTGCTCGGCCTCCCGCCACGCGTCACCGCGTTAAACCCAAACCCGGACTTTTCGATTTTAGGACCCAACGAGCAAACGACACGTGGCTTTCTGACGAGTAATGACGGGTTGTGGGGGGTCGTGAATGCGTGGAGATTGCCTTGAAAACCGTCTAAACTGCCGGCAGCCGTCAAGATTGAATGCTGGCTCGTCAGACCCAGCTGCGACGTGCAGACTGCCATGGCGACGCGGAAGGAAATAACCGCCAATGGATTCGAAATTGACGATTCAAGAAGAGAGCACTACTTAGTATGAATCGTTATCGCTCCTTAGCTGGGCGATAGGGGACGAGGCGGGATGGAAGCTGGTCGTATCGCGTCTGCTGCGAGACGGATAAAGCCTGACTCAGCAGGAGGAGGTGAAGTAGCAGTGAAACACGCAAGTATGAAAACATATAGAAGCTTCTTACTCGATTTGAGCTGACTCAACTTTCGCAACAGAAACTGTACACCGCTACAGTTGTTTTCCGTTCCACAAAATGCTACACCCACTTCCAACGACATTGGGAGTCCACTTTCAGCGAAGGGGCATCCACTATTGGTTGGCGACATTCGAGTTGTTACCGAGAAATTAGCGAAATGATTTTGGCCTGCGCGAAGGGAATTGTTCCAGATTCCGATCCCCAGTCATCATTACCTCCTACTGATTTTATACCTCCGCGTATTGCGCTACTCCTCCATACTTCCGCTTCCTTCTTTAGCACCAGAGTGTTGCGGGCCGGGAAATCCGCGAAGCAGAGTTGCTGGAGCGCAGTCATTGAGTCTATCGCGATAGCTATCCCTGCTGCCGTTTCCCGCGTAAGCCTTTTGGACCAAGTGCACCATTGATCCTCTGTTGACCAGCCGCATCGCCGACTGGTCTTCCTTTTTGCCGCTTCGATAACTCTGAAGAGACGATTTATACTCTCTTTCGCGGTGTAGTTGTTGATTCGAAGTACTTATGGCTCTGTTCCGTGCGCGGCTCGGCGGGTTCTTAGCGGGATTTGCGGTGGCGTCTGCAGGAGCGATGTACCTTTTACAACGAGATCTCTTAGCGAGTCATAAAGTGCTCACAGAGCAGGTGAGGCATGTACCGATTCAGCTTATATCGGAGCATTAACGGAATAGTGAAGTGCTAAGGAAACCCGGAACATCATACATTGGTGGATGCTGCGCCGCGAAGTCGCTGTCTATCATTTACGTCACTGTTTCTTCAGTGACGTCAATGTCCCTTCTCCGACGGATGGGACTTGGCACAATGGCAGGCGGGTGGCCACAACGCTGGAGTGAAGGCGCCTCTAGCTTCACTGAAGAATCCATTTGCTAGCCTTTGTCGTTTGTCACTCTCCACTCCCCTCACCTTGCTTGCCCTGCCCTTTGATGGCAGGCGGAGGGGTACAATGCTCTAGTGCACACCCTGTTTCTCACCCTGTTTAATGTCTCTGTCCGCTTCCCCTTGCAAATGGCATCTCGTCATGACAGGCGGAGGGGTACAATGCTGCAGTGGAGGCTCGATGGAGAGTCCAACATCTGCCTGCAATATGTTTTTCCGTCCTTGTTTGTCTCTCTCCTCACGCCTTTGCTTGCCCACTGATGCCTTACAACGGCAGGCGGAGGGGTACAACGCGGCAGTGGAGGCTCGATTGGCCCGACTGGAGAATCTGACAGCTTCCCTGGCGGATGCTCACTCACACACACACCAGCCTGCTGCTGAGGTACTGCTTGAGTGTGATATAGATAGGTGTGACTGTATACATGGGCTTGTCTGGCCCGACTGGAGAATCTGACAACTTCTCTGGCGGATGCTCACTCACACACACACCAGGCTGCTGCCGAGGTACTGTATAGGGTGTGATTGTAGATGAGTTCGGTAACGACAAGGGTGTGGCTGTGTAAAAGGGTGTGACTGGAGATGGGTGTGACTGTATAGATATGTGTGACTATAGAGACGGGTGTGATTGTATATATAGGCTGGTCTAGCCTGACTGGAGAATTTGATTCCCCCTGGCGGATGCACCCTCGCACACACACCAGGCAGCTCCTAAGGTACTGTACGTATGGGCTTGACTATAAACGGGTGTGACTGTATACATGAACTTGTCTGGCTTGACTGGAAAATCTGACAGCTTCCCTGGCAGATGCACACTCGCACGTCTGTCAGGCTGTTTGCATAGGCTCAAGTTCTGTTTGATAGTTGATTGAGGGGTATGATTCTATAGATAGGTGTGTTTGCAGGTGTTAAGAGAGGGGCCTATTAAGGAAGGTGGGGGGATGGCCGTGAGAGGGATGGAGGGGGAGGGGTGGGGGGGGGGGGGGGGAGTCTTGAAACATGCAAGTGTGCCTGTATATTGGCCTTCTGTAGGGCTTGATCCTATGTTTCATGTCATATGCGTGTATAGTACTGTTTCTTGCTACTGCAGTAGTCCCATGCTGTTATTCTCCTGCCACTTGTTTCTCTCTCATTGGCTGCCTCTCCTTGCAGGCTCAACAGTAAAGCCGGTCCAAAGTTTTGTTGGCACACTGCATACCCAACTTGTCCTGGGTTGGCACAACATGAGTGCTCATACAGTAAATGCTTTTCCAGTTACACACATATATTTGTGTGAAGTTACAAAAATCATACGGTAACGCACATTCAGAAATGGAGAATGTAACAGCTTCACCACTGGCATCCATGTGCCTCCTGCTGGCTGCATGAGGGATACAGAAAAGAAAAGAAAAGAAAAGAAAAGAAAAGAAAAGAAAAGAAAGGTTAGTGCTAGTGCATTGCTTGTACTAGAAGTGAAGGGAGTGTGAAGAGGACAGATGGGTGGGCAGCAGATACAGTTGCTGTCAGAACAAGAGAGTGTGGACAAAGCACGCGAGCACTGTGCCACGCAGCACCGCTCTGTAACCCTCCCAGCAACACTGTGAATAGACCACATGATACTGTAGACTCTTACGAGTACGAGTAAGACAAACAACCAAACTACCAGTACGAGTGAGCCTCGGCAACGCAACCCGCAAGCCAAACTCGTGGGGGAGAGAGCTGGCTTGAGCTGGCTTGGGAGCTGGCGATGGTGTGAGGAAGACTCACGGCTTTAAGCTATTCATCTCTTATTGGGGGGGGGGGGGAGGGGAGGAAAGTAATGGGTGGCCTCTTTCGTACATAATGCACACCCCACTTGGAGGTTCGAACACGTGTTCAAACTTTCCAGTGCTGCATTGAGACTCACCTCTACTGTCACTGTGGGCCAAACTTGAAACGATTGATTGCTTCAATAATCCCTCCCGCACACCGCTTGGTGGCACGGCTCGGAGCATGTGGTCTGTGCTTGGTGTGGTTTGGTGCTGTGTTGCAGGCTCTCTCACTAACAGGGATAAATTACTCACTGCTGTTACTGAGGACCAAACTTGAAATGATTAATGGCTTCTATAATGCCTCCCGCACACCGCTTGCTGGCTCGGAACACGTGGTCCGTGCTGTGGTGCGCCCTGTGCCACTCCACCAGCTCCTCCATTGCGTTGGATACCTGCAGTGGGCATAAGGGTGAAGATGAACGACTTGGGCTGTGCTGTGCAGTGCTTTACGGTGCTGCAAGGTGCTCTACTGTGCTGTGCTGCGCCCTGTGCCACTCCACCAGCTCCTCCATCGCATTAGATACCTGCAGGCGGATGGGGGAATATGTGAATGCGATTGGTGGTATGCTGTGCAGTGCTGTGCGGTGCTCTGCTATGCTGTGGCACGCCGTGTGCCACTCCACCAGCTCCTCCATCGCATTAGCTACCTGTGCCATGGAGTGGAGAGTGGTGCCATGCTCTGGTGTGCGGTACGATGCTGTACGGTGCTGTGCGGTGGTGCTGTGCGGTGCTGTGTTGCGCCCTGCACATCTCCACCATCCATGACCAGCGGTGCACCCTCAACACAGCGGCACATGCCCTTCCTTATCCACTTACAATCACACACCGGAATCGCGCCTCTGCACACCCCTCAATACAGCAGCAAAAGCCCCTTCTCCCTCCACTTACAATCAAGTTTAGGACTAAGTGGTATCTCAACACACGCCCACTCCACTTCGAACAGCTCTGCATTACTGCCCGAATCCGCACACGCCAGCGAACGTTTAGGCGGTCTGGCACTGTGGGCCAAGCATGCCACACCAGAGTCACCCCTCAGTACAGCAGCATAAAGCCCCCCCATCCACTTACAATCACGACATACGCTCCCTCCACTTCAAACAGCTCTGCATCGTTGCCCGAGTCACCACACGCCAGCGTGTGCTTGAGAGCGCTGCGCTGCCGCTCTGCTCCCTGAACTGCCGCAGCAGGGAAGCTGTAGCAGAAACGTCATATACTCTCTGCCACACAGCCACCACCCATAACAAGAACCCTCCTTTCACTTACAATCACGCCGTAGGCTCCCTCCACTTCAAACAGCTCTGCATCATTGCCCGAGTCACCACACGCCAGCGTGTGCTTGGGAGCGCTGCCGCTCTGCTCCCTGAACTGCCGCAGCAGGTAAGCCATGGCCTGCCCCTTGCCCGCTCGCTCAGGGAGAATGTCCAAATCGTACCCCCCGCTGTATATCACCTTCGCCTTGAGCTGGGGTAAGGGGGGAGGAAGGGGGGCGGCGGAAGGGAAAGGAAGAGCAGGGAGGAGAGAGGAAAGAGTAGCACACGTCATCACAAGCCAGCATGTACCGAGGGGTGGGGACTAGCACAAGGCAGGGTGACAGGGTGCGTGCGCCTACGAGGGAGGGAGGGCTGCCACTATGCACCTATAAATCCGCAAACACTGCCACTGTGCACCTGCTACAATCAGGTTTCCCTACAGTCACGTACCCCACGCTGCGCCAGCTTCCCCCTGAGCTCCTCCACCACGTTGCCTGCCTTGTCTTCCTCTAGGTGAAATGAAACTGTCCATACATACATACCTAGAAGCCACATACATACCTCTACACTCGTTCCATGCACACCCTCGTATAACACGCCCCTACCCCCACCCACGTACCCCTTGCTGCACCAGCTTCCCCTTGAGCTCCTCCACCACGTTGCCCTTCTCCAGATGAAAGCTCACCTTGAGTTGATGCACACTCAATACAGTCACATTCCAGTGCAATCTCGTTCCCACTACAGTCACTTACCCCTCGCTGTGCCAGCTTCCCCTGGAACTTCTCCACCACGTTGCCCGCCTTGTCCTTCTCCAGGTGAAAGCTCACCTTGTGCGCCTTGAATCCACATACCTTTGCAGTGTACACCTCAATACAATCACAGACTCATACAGTCACATTTCCACATAGTCACATACCCCTCGCTGCGCCAGCTTGCTCCTGAGCTCCTCCACCACGTTGCCCGCCTTGTCCTTCTCCAGGTGAAAGCTCACCTCGCTCTGGCCTCAAGTCACATACCCTTACACACACTTGCGTCGCAAACCTCAATACAATCACATGGCTGTACAGTCACACACGTACCCCTCGCTGCGCCAGCTTCCTTCTGAGCTCCTCCACCACGTTGCCTGCCTTGTCCTTCTCCAGGTGAAAGCTCACCTTGTGGGGCCGCTGCTCTGATTCCACCTGTGACAGGTAAGAGAGCAGTGGGAGAAGTGGGGTAGGTAGGAATACTGAATAAAGCTTGCTCAACCTGAATGGAAGCTGACCTTGTGCGGCTGCTGCTCCGAGTCCACCTGTGGCAGGTAAGAGAGCAGTGGGAGACACGGGAGTATAAAAACTTGACTTTAAGCAGTCAGGAGAGCAGTCAGGAGAGCAGTCAGCTTTAAACCTTTACAAATCTGAGTAGAGCACCTCAAAGCTGACTGTATTTCGGAGGTCTGGAAAGCCAGTCTGAATAAACACTCACCTGGAAATTCACCTGACAGAAGCCAAGTGAGGTTTCATTGGCTTGCTCCACGACCGCATCCCTGTCACACCCATCGTCCAGGTGCTCCTCCCACCCTTGTCCAGCTGCATGGACGCGTCATAGGCTATCTCCCTCACAACCTCAGCGCCATTCACCCCTGCCATCCCTGTCCTGTCCCACCCATCGTTCAGATACTCCTCCCACCCCTTGTCCGGCTGCAGTGGAGCCTCTCAATCACCAACCTCCGCTCACCTGGAATCGCTGCTGGGGAAAGCCCTTAGCTACATCGACCACGGCCTCTCTGTCCCACCCATCGTCGTCCAGATATTCCTCCCACCCCTTGCCTGGCTGCAGTGAAGGCTCCCGGTTACCATCCCTCGATCACCAACCCTAACTAACCTGAAACCGCAACTGAGGAAAGCCCTTAGCCACGTCCACCACAGCAGCCCTGTCCCACCCATCGTCCAGATATTCCTCCCACCCCTTGTCCGGCTGCAGTGAACCTCCTCCCCAGCCACCAACCCACTTCAGATGCCTCAGAAACCCAACAACTCACCTGGAACCGCAGCTGTGGAAAGCCTTGGCGACATCGACCACAGCCTCTCTGTCCCACCCATCGTCCAGATACTCCTCCCACCCCTTGTCCGGCTGCATGGACGCGCCATAGGTGATCTCCGTACCCACTGACATGATCACAATGTCTGGCGAGGGAATGGGGAATGGGGGGAGAGAGAGTGGAGAAGGGAAGAGGGTGGGGGGGAGTGCTTGTCCGGCTGCATGGGCGCGCCATAGGTATCTCCGTACCCACTGACATGATCACAATGTCTGGGGAGGAGGGATGGGGGAGAGAGACGATAGAAGATTGGAGGCGGATTACATGAGCCAGGAGAGACGGCCGAGCTGCTCCTCCCACCCCTCGTCCGGCTGCATGGACGTGCCATAGGTATCTCCGTGCCCACTGACATGATCACAATGTCTGGGGAGGGAATGGGGGACGATGGGGAGGGAAGGAAAGCGGGTGGGAAGGGGTAAGTCTGGGCTTGTCCGGCTGCATGGACGCTCCATAGGTGATCTCCGTGCCCACTGACATGATCACAATGTCTGGGGAGGAGGGAAGGGAAAAGACGGAAGTGGATCGTGGTTATGATGGGAGGATCGTGGAGATTGGAAGAGGGTTGGAAGTGGATTGAACGAAAGCAGAGTAAATTTCAAGCAAGCAACTCACCAGGCGTGAGCAGCGGCACTTGGCTCTTGAGTTGGGTGTAGAGGGTGGGTGAGCGGCCAGTGGAGTATTCGAGCACCGAGTCGCGCGCGAGCAAGGACCTGTCAGACGTATATGCACCTACAAGCAACTCACCAGGTGTGAGCAGCGGCACTTGGCTCTTCAACTGGTTGTAAAGGATGGGCGAGCGGCCAGTGGAGTAGACGAGCAGCGAGTCGCGCGCGAACGTGGACGAGTTTGGACGTTCATACATCATTTGAAAGTATGCAAACCCGTGTAATCTCAGGCAACTTACCAGGCGTAAGCAGCGGCACTTGATTCTTCAGATGGGTGTAGAGGGTGGGCGAGCGGCCAGTGGAGTAGACGAGCAGCGAGTCTTGCACGAACGTGGATTGCCAGAGAGACGCATCTGCTCCTAGATACCCTCGACCAATCGACTCACCCGTATACCCTCAAGCATGAACCTCACCAGGCGTGAGCAGCGGCACTTGATTCTTCAGCTGGGTGTAGAGGGTGGGCGAGCGGCCAGTGGAGTAGACGAGCAGCGAGTCCCGCGCGAACGTGGACTGCCAGAGAGACGCGAACTCGCGCAGCGACTCGTGGTTGGGGTCCTTGTGGTCCACCTGATCAGGTGAAAACAACAGAACGAATCAGGTGGGATCAGATGCGAGTGACGGACGGAAGGCCGCGTGACTGGAAAACGTCCGACTAAGACTTGTTCGAGTGCAAGGAATTCAGTTGCTCACGGAGGCGAACAGACAAGAAAGCTAGAAAATCGAGGACTGAAGATCAGAAAGAGAAGATCGTCTATGAGATTCATAATAAGGACAAAACACCATGGTCTTGTCGTGGTCAGAGGCGATTATCACGCTGATGCTTCGTTGAAGATGTCGCTCCCGTCTGACTCTGAGGCACCTCAGCAAGGGAGTATGTATGGTGGGGCCTAGCAATTCTCACCATGGTGTTGTCGTGTCAGAGGCGATCATCAGGTTGACGCTTCGTTTGAAGATGATCGCCAAGTACCGTCCGAACCTGCTGCTGATGCACCAGTACCGTTGTAGAGGCTCCTCACGTACCGAGTCTGTTTATTTAGGAGGCTAGAAAGAATCTCACCATGGTGTTGTCGAGATCAGAGACGATCATCAAGTTGATGCTTCGCTTGAACACTGCACTGCCGTAGCGCGCTTGTTCTTGAGGAAATTGAAAGACCAAGGGTCCAAAGAAATCTCACCATGGTGTTGTCGAGATCAGAGACGATCATGAGGTTGATGCTTCGCTTGAAGATGTCGCTACCGTCCGAGGCACCCGAAGCCGCCATGACGACTGCCGATCGCCGATTAACGCTCGCCGCTGATCGCGGGCGAATCTGGAAGTTAACTGCTGACGGGAGAAATCGCGATGCTAACTGAGTGGCTGTGTCGCTTGACGAGGTCGATCTTAACGCGTACGGACGAGGAGGGGAATGAAAACCTGAAGGCGATTTGTCGAATGAGCCTGAGAAGGATCCGCGAACCGCGAGAGTGGCCGATGGAATCTGAGAAACGGTCAGGGACTTCAGCATTGGCATTCGAATCCGCTAGCCAAGAAAAAGCTGGAAAAGGAATTTCTCCCAAAGATCCTAGAAGTGTGTGCAATGGGATCAAATTCTTGCAAGAGCACAAGGCGGCTCCAAGGCGCCAAGGCGGCTCGACTACGTTAGACTTAGAAGTGCACTATCACCCGTGGAGTTCACAGGACGGAACAGGCAAGGCTCTCATTGGCCGACAGCCGACGAACGCAAGAACGACGGAATTGAGAACCCAGGAACAGACCGTTTTGGCCCTGTTCTGCTGCAGCCTTGCAGCCGATGGCACCGATTTGGCTGACTATGTTGTGAGTGATGGTCGGAAATCAGGATGATAGAATCGAGGAATTCGGAATTCAGTTGCCTACGTTTGGGGAAGGGAACGCTGCCTACATTTGGGGAATCCCGCGGTTACCTCGGTTCTGTCTGGTGCAGTGTGTTAAAAAACGGCGAAATGATGACACCGCTGCTCACCGCGTAAAGCCCAAATGAACCGCACTATTTGATCAGCGTCCACCACAACTACCGAAACTAGCAAATGGGGTTCCTCGACTGTGTGGGAGAGGCACGTGTTGTCCACTCCTGAACTTACCCGCTTTAGTGTTGACGGATGATTCGCAAAGTATTCGTGCACCTCACTCTTACGTTCGATTAGTATGTGTACACAGGAACTTCGTGAGCATAACCTTACCTGTTAGCAATCGAACCAAGATAGCATTAAGAGAGTTTCCTGAACGTCAATCTGAGTTCTGTTTTTCCAATGTACTTCACACATCGTTTCCTCTTCTGCTCGCCTCCCACCGCCGCATCATGCTTCCCTATCATTTCTTGGCCTCCTATTGGAGCTGAGGCACCACCACCAGCTGCAGCAGCACCGGCTGCAGCAGCAGGGAACGTGGATGGGCCTGATGCGTTGGCGGGAGCGGCGGCGGTAGCAGCAGGCACAAGAGCTGCAACGGGAAACAGCAGGGATTGTTGGAAAGGAGGTGAGATGTGCAGAAAAGAGTTGGAGCACAAAAGGGCTGATGAATGTAGTAAAAATGTGCCGTCACTACTCATGAGTCATGACCATTTTCACTCACTCGAGCTAGAAAATGTCAAGGAGAAATAACAACAGACGTTTCCCTGGACCCTGGACTTACTTTCTTGAAAGAAGAGGCAGGAACCCAGAGTCTCCTCATAGTCTCCAACCTGAATGGGGCAAGAGAATTCAAGCAATCAAATCAGACAGTAGAGAAATAAAAGAAAAGGCAGGCTGAATGCGTTTATCAGTGCTAAGATACCAATCACACGGACGGACAGGATGCAGAGAGGGGGGAGGGCCGTGACGGGGAGAGGAGAGAGGCAGCAGGGAGAGAGGCATTGAAGGGGGAAACCATGGGAGACTCATACAAGGAAAATACAGAGGCAATGATTCTTCCAGGTCCAAAGCACTGAAATGCCATAGCATGGTTCATAAAGTTTTTCAAGGGAAGAACAACATTGAAAGCTTTGAAGAGAGCACCGCATCCATTGTTGTGAAATAATTTGGTTTACACCGACATGGATTAAGGTGGCTTGGTCTATGATGACGTGGCTTACCAGCGTGCTGCCATCTGGAAGGTGCAGTGTTGGAGCCTCTGATTCCAAGTTCTGGATAAAAGACACATGACATAAACGGAATGCTCGAAGGAAGCGCTTAAATCGTAAAGTTATACACTATACACATGTCAATTCACAAATTAGATAATCATACCTTCCAATATGCCATGCATTGATGTACATGCGTGTACATGCACACACCAGACGAACACATTGACATGTGTGCATGGCACATGCACACTCATGGTAATAATCAGGATCACAAGTTTCAGAACACAAGCCTCACACGACCACAGCAGCAGCAACAAGAAGAATGTGACAACCTTTGATGTCATCCTCGCTATAAGCCGCTCCATGGTTTGTCTGCCTCCAACCCTCACCTCAAAACCCTGGAACACACTCCTGGATCCACCTCATACCAACACATTTGAGAAAATATTTACCAAGCCAGGGTCTCATGTACGGGTTGGCCGTGCAACTGCAAAGCACTTCAGCAAAAAGTGGGTTCTTTGGCGAGTCTTGATTTGACAAAACTCTGGCCCCAAAAATGTTAACCAATCAGACAGACCCTTTTTTCATCGACTGCAAAGCACTTGGACAGCTGAAGACCCTAGTTTTACATGGCTTTTGTTGCCCTCTCTGTAACTTGCCTCAACCCTCCTAAGCGCAGTTTCCCCCACTTACCTCAATAATGAGGCGGCAATTTCGAGGCAACCTCCTAACCGCTTGGCTCAGATCCAATACACATATTCCACCTCCTCTTCCTCCTCTTTTTCTTCCGCCTCTTCTCCTATTCCTTCCTCTTTCTCCTTCGCATCCTCCTTTCGATCTTTCCCCTTCTCATCGTCCCTCTCCTCCTTTTTCTCCTTCTCACCTTCCTCCTCCCCCCCCTCTCCTGGCCCCCCTGCTTCCTCCCTCGGTCCCCCTTCGTCCGCCCCCCCCTCCATTTCTTGCCCCAGCAAACCCCTTTCTTCTCCGCCTCTCCCTTCCCTTACCTCCTCTCTCTCCTTCTCATCCTCCGTTTCCTCCTCTCCTGCTCTTCCTGCTTCCTCCCTACCCTCCTCATTAGCCGCGAATCCCCCCTCCTCCTTCCCTTGCTCCCCCTCCTTCCGTTGCTCCCCCTCCTGCCGCTGCAACCACTCGCCCCCTTGAACCCTCTGCGCCTCCCCCCCCTCCTTCCCTTGCTTCCGATCCCCCTCCTACCCCCATTTTTCCCTTCTCTTTCTTCTCCTCCCTCTTCCCTTTCTTCTCTTTTTCCTCCTTCCCCTCCACTTTCATCCTTTCGTCCTCCTCTCCCTTCTCTTTCTTCTCGCTCTCCTCCTCCTTCATCCTCCGTCGGTTCTCTCGCTTCGTCTCCCCGCCTTCCCTCCGCCTCCCCTCCTGTGTCGGGAACATGAATGTCGCCGTTACGAACGTCACTGACGGCCGTCAGGAACATGACCGTCGCCGTCACTAGGAGGACGGTCGCCGTCACTAGGAGGACGGTCGCCGTCAAGAATGTCGGCCGTCATCAGCACCGTCTCTTGCTCACCACCCTCTTTCAGTGCGCGTGCTTCTCAAGATCGCCGCGTTACCACTTGAAAAAAACGCACAAACCCCGTTCTAAGTAGCAGGCGTGGTACGTCGAAGCTAAGCTTTCACTCAGTGGTCGGAGTCGGAAATAATCAGCTTCTTGTGAGATGGCGCGGACACGGGGAGTGTAGTGTGACAACCTGACTTTTATTCGCGCTGCAAAGCACATGCGGTATACGATCTGACTGATATTGATTATTAATGTACAGATTACCGAAGATAATTCTTTTACAGAAAAAAGCTGTACAGACAAAAAAAAGTGTGCTACATTCTAAACAAATACATGAGAACCCTGGCCTTTGTCCCTAAAAATTCTCCCACACAAGGAGCAAACCAAGAAAAAAAAAAAAGAAAAAGAAAGAAAGAAAGAAAGAAAGAAAGGAAGAAAGGAAGAAAGAAAGAAAGAAAGAAAGAAAGAAAGAAAGAAAGAAAGAAAGAAAGAAAGAAAGAAAGAAAGAAAGAAAGAAAGAAGAAAGAAGAAAGAAAGAAAGAAAGGTATGCACAAGCTAAACGGTAAAGGGAAATCACTTGGCGAGGGATGCCAAGATCCGCCTAGGGGCTCAAACGATCTCCAGGAATGCTGCACAGTGAGGTTATCCACCAATAGCACGTCGCCATGGCACTGCCACTGCCAGCCGTTCCATTTCCTCCTCCACTGCCAATACAGCCTCCTTCCCCCAGTAACGCCTCTCCGTCTCCAAAGCGTGTGAGCGCAAGCCGTAAGGGCTGCAAAACTTGTGCATATGCAGAACTGAAGGGAGGTTAGGTCACTTGGCAAGGGATGCCAAGATCCGCCTAGGAGGCTCAAACGACCTCCGGGAGTGCTGCACAGTGAGGTTATCCACCAATAGCACGTCGCCACGTCGCCATGGCACGGCCACTGCCAACCGTTCCATCTCCTCCTCCACCGCCAGTACAGCCTCCCCCGGTAACGCCTCCCCATCACCAAATGTTACCGCCTTGGTGGGATCGTTACGCACGTCCTTCCATCCCGTGTAGGCTGCTACCATGCTGTTGAACCATGCCTCCCGAACCTCTTCCTCCCGAGCCTCTCCTGTCCGAACCTGTTCATCCTGAACCTCATCCTGTGCGGCATGATGTTTGGTGGAGAGGCTCGGTAGAGGCCTGGTGTCCACCCTAAGCGCCGGGATAGGCCCGGAAACAGTCCGAACGCTGCCATCCGCCTGCCACTCCAGCTTCACTCCTAGCTTTGCCGCCCTGCAAGCAAGCAGGCAAGGCGGGGAGGGGGTGGGTGGATGGTGGGGATTGTGGGTGCCGGAGAGTGGGGGTAGGGGAGAGTGACTTGAGTCGATTCTATGACCACCACTGTTGAACGCTGCCGTCCGCCTGCCACTCCAGCTTCACTCCTAGCTTTGCCGCCCTGCAAGCAAGCAGGAAGGGTGGTGGGGAGTGGGGAAGTGGCGGAGGGTGGAGGGAGAGTGCGAATGGGTGAGTTGAGTTGAAGAGCCGGAATTAGCAGCAGATGGGAGCATTGGTGGGAGATCGCTGTCGTCTGCTTGCCACTCCAGCTTCATTTGTAGCTTTGTACGGGAGGGGCAACGGGGCTAGGTTAGGGGGCGAGGGGAGTGACTGGTGCGAATGTGCTCTTGTATGCCGGTGCCGTGACTTTCATGACAGATGCGGTGAAATGCTGAAGAGGAGCGGAGGGCATGGGCACAAGAATACGACTGCAAAGCGAGCGATATGACTTCAGAAAAAGGAAGGAAAAAAAGGGGAAAAAAGAGGCTCAAACAACCTTCTAAACAAGCAGGATGTAACCAAAGCACACAAAAATTACAGCAAACATGCAAAAACTGTCGAGAGTGGGATTTGAACCCACGCCCTTTCGGACTGGAACCTTAATCCAGCGCCTTAGACCAACTCGGCCATCTCGACACACTGCAAGCAAGCAGGCAGGGTCCAGCAGCGAGAGGGGAATGGGGGGCGAAGAGGGGAGAGGGGGAAGACGTGGGAAAAAGGGGAGAGGGGAGGGGAGAGAGGGGGAGAGGAGGAGAGGGGAGGGGGGAGAGGAGAAGGGGGAGAGGGGAGTGGGGGGAGTGAGTTTCTGACTTCCATCCCAAACCATAGGGTCTGCTCGGGTAATTCTCCTCCGGCAGCACACGCACACAGAGGTGACCTTTGAGTCGACGCAAATCAAAAGTCACCCCCTCCGCCAGCACGCGCACACACACAGCAGCAGCCCCATGGCGCTCAACCCCCTTTTCCACGCCCGTACAACTCACCTCTCCTCAGCCTCCTCCTTGCTGTCAGTCAGAAACGTGGACTTCCATCTTCTCCTGATGGCACTGCTTGGGTCATCCACCTCTGGTAAAACACGCACATACAGCAGCCCCTTGGGTCTCAGCTGTGAAATAAACGAGGGGTGTGGTAGAGCCATCCTGCTATCTAGCTAGCTACTAGCCCTCACTTCTCTGCAGCCTCCTCCTTGCTGTCAGTCAGGAACGTCGACTTCCATCCCCGCCCGATCGCACTGCTCGGGTCGTCCTCTTCCGGTAGTACGCGCACATACAGCAACCCCTTGGCTCTCAGCTGTGACATCAACGAGAGGGTGTGGGTGAGCCATCCCCTACTAGCTACAAGGCACTAGCTACTAGTTACATGAGGAGAGCACTCACTTCGATTCAGCTTCCTCCTTGTTGTCTGTCAGGAAAGTGGACTTCCATCCCCTCCCAATGGCACTGCTCGGATCGTCCACCTCTGGTAAAACACGCACATACAGCAGCCCCTTGGCTCTCAGCTGTGATATAAACGAGGGGTGCTTCAGAGCCAGGCGCCTGGTGAGCTCGCAGGAAGCCAGGATGGGGGTTTCGCCACCTGTGGCTGGCGGGGTCTCGCAGAAAAGAAGAGCCGGGTTGGATACTCGGGTACCTGATAAGGGGGACGAGGGAGGAGTGGGAGGAGAGGAAGAGGGAGTGGGAGTGGGAGTGGGTGGGTGGGAATGGATCAATCGGGAGTTGGAGTGGGTGGGGGGCAGTGAAAGTGCCTTCAGCTGAAGCAGGGAGGGTAATCCATTGGCAGAGGGAGAACACGCACATACAGCAGCCCCTTGACCCTCAGCTGAGCCACGAACGGAGGGGCGTGTGTGGTGGGGTCTGGCAGGAGAAGAGGAGGCACGAGGGGTACTCTGGCTATATTGGTGTGGCTTTTGAGAATTCTCAAAAGTAACACGAACGAGGGGCGTGTGTGGTGGGGTCTGGCAGGAGAAGAGGAGGCACGAGGGGTACTCTGGCTATATTGGTGTGGCTTTTGAGAATTCTCAAAAGTAACACGAACGAGGGGCGTGTGTGGTGGGGTCTGGCAGGAGAAGAGGAGGCACGAGGGGTACTCTGGCTATATTGGTGTGGCTTTTGAGAATTCTCAAAAGTAACACGAACGAGGGGCGTGTGTGGTGGGGTCTGGCAGGAGAAGAGGAGGCACGAGGGGTACTCTGGCTATATTGGTGTGGCTTTTGAGAATTCTCAAAAGTAACACGAACGAGGGGCGTGTGTGGTGGGGTCTGGCAGGAGAAGAGGAGGCACGAGGGGTACTCTGGCTATATTGGTGTGGCTTTTGAGAATTCTCAAAAGTAACACGAACGCGGGGCGTGTGTGGTGGGGTCTGGCAGGAGAAGAGGAGGCACGAGGGGTACTCTGGCACCTGGCAACCTCTCCTCCCTCTCCCCTTTCTCCCCCATCACGTCTCTCTCTCCCTCTCCCCCCCCCCCCCACTTCCCCTCTCCCCCTTCCCCCCCCCCCTCCCCCCCCCCCCTACCCCTCTTCCCCCTTCCCCCCCCCTCCTTTCCCCCCCTTCCCTCTCTCTCCCCCCTTTCCCACCCCCCCCTTCCCCCTCTCCCCCTCCTTCCCCCTCTCCCCCCTCTCCCCCCTCTCTCCCCTCGCCCCCCTTAGCCCCCCCACTCACCCCCCCCCCCCCCTCCCCCCCCCCCCCCCCCCCCTCTCCCCCCCAGTCCCCCTTCTCATGGTGGAACGGGATCTTCTGATCCGGAGGCGACTGTCCCACTAGCGCATCCTCCCACCTTTCCTTCTCCCCCCCACACACACCCCCTCACCCCCTAGCGCTCTTCTCACCTGCCCCATCTCGTGGTGGAACGGGATCTTCTGATCCGGAGGCGACTGTTGTTTCAACGTTGCCTGCTCTCACCACCCCTCCGCCCACACCTTTCCCCCTTCCCCCCCAGTCCCTCCGCTCACCTGTGCCATCTCGTGGTGAAAGGGAATTTTCTGATCCGGAGGCGACTCGTTTGCTGTGAACACACGCGGGGCGACCTGGAGTTGGAGAAGGGTGGAGAGGGGTAGAGAAGGGCGGAGATGGGCCGGGAGGGGTGGAGAGGGGTGGAGAGGGGTGGAGAGGGGTGGAGGGGACGGAGAGAAGTGAAAGGGAGTGGAGGAGTGCGGATTTTTGAGATTCTAGAACAATCCAAGGATAAGTATGGAAGGTTGAGTGCGGTGAGAAGGTGTGAAGTGGTGTGTGGCGAAGCGGAGTGCAGGCGGAAGAGCTTGAGCCTAGGCGCGGGGAAGGCGGGAGAGACAGGAGAGGGACGGGATTGGGAGGGGAGAGGAGAGGAAGGGGGTAGGCGAGAGGGGGAAAACGGGCGGAAGCGGAAGTGATGGGATGGGAACCTCCCATATTTTTCTCCTGAGGAGAGGGGAGGGAAGAGGAGGAGTTGGAGGGAGGGGGAAAAAGGGGCGGAGGGAGGGGAGAGGAGAGGTGAAAAAGATGAAGAAGGTTCGCGGAGGGGAGAATGGGGGTGAACGCGTCGACCAGTCACCTTCGTTCTTGGCGCCGCGCCGCCCACGTAAGGCAGCTCGTCCAATCCGAAGGCCTCCACGACCTCGTTAAAGTCACCTGGCGACTCGAGAGGCAAGCCGCGCAGCAGCACCGCTCCGTGCAGCTGCCACGTGTCCAGCAGCCATTCGCGGTTCGCGCGGATCCACGCGACGGCGTCGCTGACGCAAGGAGCGGCCACGTCGGATGAGGAGGATCCTGACGTGGCGAGGGGAACGGGCCGAGGAGAAGATGAAGGGGAAGCGGCAGCGGGAGTGGGGAGAACGCGCGGCGTGAGGACGAGCGGGAAGGGGAGGCTATTAAAGACCTTCTGCTCCGGAACAGTCGACTCGACCAGCTGAAACAGACCGCCGCTTGCGCTGCTACCGCCGCTGGAGCTACCGTTGATGTCGTCGGCAGTCATGATACTGTTGACGCTACTGGCACGAGCTCGGTGAGAAGGAACTAAGCGGTGGCGATGGATGCGACTGCGCGCGGATTGGCTAGCGATGGTTTGCGTCGATGCACAAGGAGTGCGCGACGAGCGTGCGACGGCGACGCGTGAGACCGAAAGGGGATTCAGGCGAAACGAGGGTTGTGCAAGATCAACCATCGGGCGAGGCGGAACTGAAACTTTGGATGTTCAGCGGGGGAAGCAAGCGCGGCGGAAGGAAACGAAAGAGAAGGGCAAGGTGCGTCGCATGCAAGGAAAACGACCAGATGCGTGCGATCATGCGATGCCAACGCCATGCGAACGCGGCAAGGCGAGTGAAAGAATATTCGAAATTTGCGTAGAAATCATCCCGTGAAGTCCGATAAGAAGGGACAGTCGTAAAAGCAGCAAACGTGCCTCTAAATTATCACTTATATTCTGAATAGTGAGAACTTCTATATTCCTTAGGTTGAAACATCTGGATCATAGAATGCCTTTTCTTTGGGTTGGATAAAAAAATAGATCAGGCTATGAATCTATATATTACGAGCACATTTGTGAAGTGATACTATTATTTTTATTTGTATTTTAGTTTGGCTAAATCTTGTTCTGAATAATTGTGTGCTTGTATTTATCTATTCGTCGTTCACAAATGATGTTCTCTCCACACAGCGAAATCCGTTCCCGCCTCCCTGTCAACAGGGTCAACAACCTCCATACCTGCTGGCGCTGACGTGTTACCACCATGCCAGCGGGGCTGAGGTATTCGGGGGCGGTGTTCCACTCACATGGTTGTGCTAGCTCTTCATATGAGAAAGTTCTCATCATTCATTCCGTTTAGAAATCGTCCATTCCGTTCCCAGCTGTGTCGTTCCGTCCACACATGCTCTAGAAAACCCTTTCGCGATTCCCCGTTCGCATATAGCATTTTCAGCTAGCTTCCACCTCGTTGTTGATATTGCCCGACATGATAAAAACGCGACACACCGATAAGTTAACGGTCGTGATGGGACGCGCAATTTCGCAGCGCTGCACGGCGGCGCTTATCGTGCTGACGTGTCTCTCGACGGTCGCGAGAGTCCACTGCGTTCGGTTCGCCGACTCCCAAGGTCTGTCCCGTCGCTGCTGAAAGGCTTTCACGCTGCCGAATCGGCGGACTTGATATTCCGGAGTAAAGTTCCAGAACTTCAATACGTGAACCAATATGTGAAGGCTGTACATCTATCACAGCGACCAGACACGAAAATCTAGCCACGCACGGCAAGTTAAATTACACATTTCGTCGGTGAGAATGCAAAGCATTTGGCTGCCAAAGCAGTACCAGTACCAGAATGCGCGTCATGCAGTCTATTGAGACACTTCAATGTGCGATGCATGCATTCATGCATGCCAGACAGACAGTCTGACCCACTGTGCCCTCTCATCCGTGCACTCAGTGCCTCACGCCAGCTCTGTACAGCCATACTTTGAACGCAGTTCGTTTTTTAGGCGCCACAAAAACAATCTAACGCTGGCTCTGCCATGCAGTCGGCGGTTGGATGTTGTATCCCCCTCCCCACCCTTTCCCCCTCCCATTCCCCCCCCTCCCCACCTCCACCCCCTTCCTCCTCCCCCTCCCCCTCTTCCGCCTCCTCCCCCTCCTCCTCCTCCTCCTTCTCCAATCCGTCCTTGAAATATAATGAAGGTACAACACTATATTATACATGTAACATGGCAGCAAGTGTCAGGGAAATGGAAGAAATGGGTGGAAGTGTTGGGAATGGAGGCGGGAGTGGAGGGAATGGGAATGGGAATGGGAGAAAGCATGGAATATGCTTCATGGCAAATGCTTCATGGCATATGTTCCTCCTCCTCCCTCTCCGCCTTCTCATACCAGCTCGCGTTCTCATGGAATGTCAGAACGAGTGGTACAGGACCTTTGCATCGTGGAAAATTGGCGGGGAGTGCAATGGGGCGTACGGTGTCACTTGCGACGCTCAAGGCATAGTCACATCCATGTGAGTCACATCCATGTGAGTCACATCCATGTGAGTCACATCCATGTGAGTGACATCCATGTGAGTGACATCCATGTGAGTGACATCCATGTGAGTGACATCCATGTGAGTGACATCCATGCGAGTGACATGCATGTGAGTGACATGCATGTGAGTGGCATGTATGTGAGTGACATGCATGTGAGTGACATGCATGTATGTGAGTGACATCCATGCGAGTGACATCCATGTGAGTGACATCCATGTGAGTGACAGCCATGCGAGTGACAGCCATGTGGATTCGCATACGTTTGCCCCCCTCTCCCAGTCGTGCAAGGGTCAAATGTTGCAATAAGAGAAGCATCACTCGCCAGGAACTTGTTTCTCGCCTTTATATCTTGCTTACTCGGTCGAGCTTAGTCGATCCATCTCAGTCGATTGATAATCTCCGAATCTGTGTCAATCCCCCCTTTTTCCCCCCTCCTACACCCCTCCCCCTCTCTCCAACCCCTCCTGAACCTTCCAACCATAACCCCGTCTCATGTGCCTAGGATCATTAATGACGCTTTGTACGGATCCCTCCCATCATCCATCGGCAACCTAAGCAGCCTGGACTCCTTGTCAGTATCCTTCTTATTGCAAATGTTTTTTTAGAATACTTAAAGCACATCGTCGTGCATATGATGTGACCTACTAGCAGCAGCACCCTTGCTTGCTGTGTGGTTGGCTTATAGATGCTCTCCTCACTCACCACCGTCCTCCGTTTTTTATGTGGTCCTTTTTTATGCCTATCCCTATACCCATAAAAATCCAACTCACATGTCCCATCAGGGTATTTAATTCGGCTGGCTTAGCTGGATCCATCCCTTCTACCATTGGCCGCTTGAGCAACCTGTCCTTATTGTCAGTATTCCACTGCCCCAATGAATTGCTTCCACACACATGACGCGGGGATAACTCCTGAGGTGCTTCAGAATTCATATTTGTGGCCCCTCAAAACCTATCAACCATTGCCAATTATAGCAACCTGTCACTGCAATTGCCACCAATCCACTATCATCCTTTTTCTAGGCGCCTAAACAATGACTCATTTGCATAGCCATACACTTGACATGCACGAGAGTAAGTTTCTAACCGTTTGCAGTGAAGCCCGCAAAGGCGTGATACCATTTCATTATACGTATCCGCAAAAGTTGCGACCGCATTTCTAGGCAAAGACAAAAAACTGGTCGAGTCTAGTTGGTGCTTTATGCTTGAGAGTGTTTCCTCACCTGCTGCTGAGAGGATACAAAAAGGGAACCGCCGAGCAACGGGACTGCTGAACAAACAGTCTGCTGACAACTTGACATTGGTAATGACAGTGCTCCCGCTAACAAACCTGACCGTTGCCAACTCTCCAAATCTTATTGCGCGATCGTGTGTCGTTCCTTGATGTACCCCAACCAATCTCAAGACTCATTCTGTCCCTCTCCTCTCCCCTTTGGTAAATACTTTACCGATGAAATCCACCTCGTGCCCAACCAGGTACTTTAGAGGGAACAACATGGAAGGATCTATCCCATCAACCATTGGCAACCTGGTCAATTTGAAAAAATTGTCAGAATTCTCCTATGTTCATTGATCCTTGTCAAATATGCAATGGCGGGTGCCAAGGTTAAGAAATGCGGTCCTTTTTTTGATAATTTACCATATATTACAGTATCGTATTACGGCCGTAACGGTAAAATACATTCAAATGTTGACTTTTGGGGTTGAGATTTTACAAATATTCAACCATCAGTAGTCAATCTTGATAGCATGTATTTTGCCATCAGGCGACTGGATGTTTTCGATGTGGCGCAAACTCAAGAGTCCCGAGCCATGACATAGTAAATCTTGGCGAGTGGAGTGGATGAAGAATGTGTGCTCCTTTCGCATACTTATTGATTTTTTTTGTCCATGCGAAGTGGTTTCGCCATTACCACCTGTTTTCAAGTCTTGTATTCTTTGTGGAATCAAGATTTATACGTGGATGCGATTTCTTTATTCTGTGAAGAATTAAAATAGAGCTTCAATCCTAAGTTTCCAATGCAAAGCGTAGATATGATATAAGGCAATGTGACCTTTGATGCAAATGCCGAACAATGTGACACTGTGGCATTGCTGTGCCTTACATGCTTTATTGCCTGTCCTTGTTTTGTGCACATGGCTTATCCTGTAGATCTTCTCACATGTTCCTCTCTTTTCCGTCCTCTGTTCTTCTTAGATCTCTTCACCAATTACATCCACTTTGTTCCCCGTCAGGTATCTTGACAACAACGGATTTTCTGGATCTATACCATCAGTCATCTCCAGCTTGGTCAGCTTGGAGTATTTGTCAGTATAATTGAGGCTCCTCATAAGTGAGGCGATGCTTGAGGCTCCTCATACATGAAACGATGTTTGAGGTGCCTTTTTTTTGTGTGTTTTTTTGTGTGTGTTTTTTTTTGTTTTTTGTTTTTTTTTTTTTTTTTTTTTTTTCCTTTTCTTTTTCTTTTTCTTCCTTTCTGGACCCATAAGAATCTGCCGTCTCCAACTTGGTCAGTTTGGAATATCTGTCAGTGTCCTCTGTCGTAGTCTTTTGCCACCCCAAGTGCCTGCAGCTGAACTCATGTTGTATCTTTTCACAAGAAGCTTTATATGAGGATTTTGACAGCTGGTTCTGCCAGCAAGTGATGCTTGATCGAGAGCGCAATGTATGAGAGCTCAATGGTGAGCCCATCCAGTATAAGTGACAGAAGAGAGCAATAGTGACTCGCTTGAATCATAAGCTCGTCATGAGCCCTGCCTTTCTGTTGTGTGCACATCATGGCTCGCTTCTCATCATTCTGCGCGCTTCATCTCACCTCTACCTGTGCCGTCCATCAGTATGGTTTTCGATGATGGTTTGACCGGATCAATCCCACCGACCATTGGCAGCTTGATCAAGCTCTCATATCTGTCAGTATTCTCCCTGTCTATATGGGCTTCGATGTCTCTTGCTCTTTAGACACGAGCAATAGCTCGAGCTGAGCTGAGCCAATCTGTCATGGCCCAGTTCGAGTCAGCTCGATGAGTGGAGCCAGTGAGATTTCTGGCTGTTTGGTTTTCCATGTAGGCAAGCCGGCCAAGCGGGGACGGTTGAGGATTGACATTCCATGACCTGATCCGCACGTAACATCTCCCTGCCTGATCAGTGCAGATCTGGTTATGACCCCCCTAGTCAGAGTTCAGAACTTGTGTCGCAGTTCTCCTACCTAACTCTTGGATAAAATTAGAGCCAAATAATTCACAATCGCAGTCAGAGTGTGCCCTCCATCCAGATCTCCCTGCGGTTACGACCAATGAATGGTGTTCTCTCGGATTGTATGATGCAATTTCATCTCCTGCAATTCCAAGGACTGATGGGGTAGCTTTGTCATACTGCGTCTTTCTTACTTTGGTTCCTCTACCCAATGCCCTTGTGCCCAAGCAGGTTATTAGTAGGGAAACGCTCTGTAGGATCCATTCCATTGACCATTGGCAACCTAATCAACCTCGAATATATGTCAGTATCCCACATTGATGGTTTTGAACCCCGTTGTCAAACTAGCGAGTGCTTGGAGTTCCTCTGATGGACGCATACTGATCCTGGATGATGTTGTCTCGGGTTGCAATACCTAGTCTTGTGTGTTTGAAGGGAAGGAGAGTTTTTTTAAGCTCCACACCCAGGAAGTTAAGAACATGGTTCTTAAGGCTCATGTTGGTTGAGTACTAACTCATAGCACGAATAATTCTCGAGATTCCCAAGTGCCTAGATTGCTTATCGTGTGCATTTGCCAACACTTACAAGGGGTACTAACCCAAGGTCACAGCGTCAGCGTTGGGGATCTTTAGATAGGACAGTCATTCATATGTTTTAAAACTTCCTGACACAGCTCCATGGAAAGAAATTGTGTTTTCACATTAAAATCGCAAGGCACCAATATTCCCACGATTGGATGGATCATGTTGGGAACCTTTCCTGGTTACATTTGATCCACCCAACCCCCAACGGTTCTAGACGTTCGATTCTACCCATATTCAGTTACTCACCACCATCGTATTTAAAATCCCCGACCTCTATCCCCTTTTGTGCCCCATCAGGTATTTGCAGAGTACATTCACCGGATCAATTCCGTCTATTATTGGCAACCTGGCAAAGCTGTCATATCTGTCAGTACCCCTCGTTTCGCAATTGAGTGTAAACTTATCCAACCCCTTCGGGCTTAGCATTTTATTTTATATTTACATATATATACATATATATGCATATATATACATATATGCATATATATGCATATATATACATTGCCAATGTAATTTGATGATAAGAAGTGATGTTTGCTTAATTTATAGACTCACATTTTCCCCTCAAGCATTTGCCTTGCCTGGATGCTGGATAAGACAATACACCACAATCTTTCGTCCTCTTAACCCCATTGTTTTCAACTACCTCAGCACGGCTTGCCCATCAGTGAACTCACAGGTGGTAAATAATTTGGATCCTTCCTTCAACAATTGTTGTTTTGAGGCACCGCAAAAGACTTCTGAGGCACCTGCAAAAATCCCAGCTTGTCACCTTTGGATAACGAGGCCGGATAATTATTTTCAATATGCATAGCTGTCGCTTCCTTGTCATCTCTATGTTTCCTTTTTCCCCATAATTTCCTCCTCATGCCAGACATCTTTTAAGTAACAACTTGAATGGATCCATTCCATCATCTATTGGAAACCTGACTGGCTTAAATTATCTGTAAGTACGTTGCGCTGGTAAAGTACTAATTCAAATGACTCCCCTTATGTGTGTATGATTCCAGTCTTATCACTGCTATGAAAAAAAACCCAGCTTGTCAGCTTTGAATAATGAAACGTCATAAATGGTTTCAGTACATAGCTGGCGCTTCCTTCTCTTTGTTTCCTCGTTAACCATAATGTCCTCCTCGTACCATATTAGGAATCTTGCATATAACAGCTTCAATGGATCCATTCCATCAACCATTGGAAACTTGATTGGCCTAACAAATCTGTAAGTGCTAGAATATTCACACAAGCGGCTCCGCTTACATGTGCACGAGTCCAGTTTTTGCTTTGATTATTGTGCAAATATGTCAGCTGGTAGCTTTTGGGTTATGAATCCTCATAGGGGTTTCCAGTACACATAGCTGGCACTTCCATGTATTCTCTTTGTTTCCTTGTTACCCATAGAGTTCTCCTCATACCATATCAGGAATCTTGCAAATAACAACTTCAGCGGATCCATTCCATCAACTATTGGAAACCTGACTGGCTTAGAATATCTGTAAGTGGATTGTAGTGGTGGAATATTCACTCAAGTGACACCCCTTATGTGCACATGACTCCAGTTTTCAGATATCCCTGCTTGTCACTTTTGAAGATGGCAGCTGCATAAATGTTTTCAATGCTCATAGGTGTCACTCCCGTATCATTGCTATGTTTCCATTTTACCCGTGAATGTCCCCTCATCTCACGTCAGGCTTCTTTCAGATAACGAGCTTATTGGATCCATTCCTTCAACCATTGGCAACCTATCCCACTTGGTTATTTTGTCCGTATCAGATGACTCCGTCCTATTAGCAGAGCGATCATTCATGTTGATCTTTTCCTCATATTCGCTCTGCAATAATTTATGTTGGTGGCTCCCTCATATTCGCAGTGCTATCGTTCATATTAATGGTGTTGGAGTGGTTCGTCGAGCCATTCAATGGCTACAAAGTAACGGTGGACATTTTTAGATGAATTGTGCAAAAATTGTTGAAGGAGAGCCCCTTTAATGGGCCAAGTCTGTTGGTCATTGTAATTTGATGAGGCTCACCGATTATTCCTTTTTGGCATCCGCAAGTTCCTTTCGTATACAGTTTCCATTATTCAGTTTTCATTATTCAATTTCCATTATTCAGTGCGCTATTCCTTCAATTTTAGTCTCTTCCCCCCCCCCCCCCCCCCCCCCCCCCCCCCGATAAAAATGGATATCCAGGTTCAGGCCAACAGTTTCCATTATTCAGTTTTCATTACTTAGTTTTATTCAGTTTCCATTATTCAGTTCTACTTACAAGTAGCACGTACAGCGAGCACCCAGTTGGCACTTGTATTGTATGTCTCTCTCTTCTTCCTTCTCTGCCCCCCTCTAGCTCCCTGGGTCTGCTTCCATCTTCCACATGTGCGATCTCCTCTCCCACTTGTGTCTCTTTCTATCTGTAAATCCACCATGTGTCACACTAGGAATCTAGGAGGGAACTCCTTAAGTGGATATATCCCCCCAATTATTGGCAACTTGAGCAAACTGGAATATCTGTAAGTATCCTTGACTGCACCAGTTTATTTTCAAGATTGGGCACTTTTTATTCTAGTGTAAGTGCCTGTGCCGTGACATGTGGTGATAGCTCTTATCTAATGCAAGGTCCCAGCTGCAGTCATGTGATTTTCTCTCTTATTTGAAACCCGCACGTTTCGACTGCATGTGCAGCGATGATTTTTCTAGAACCGCAGTGACATGCCCACCTGACTACGACGCCTGTGTGGTCCAACAAAACACTTCAAGCACTTTCTGCCGTACATGCTCCTCCTTTTGCAACACTTGTGACAAGCCAACATCTAGTGAGCATTTACACCAGTAGTAGATCACTTGAGTATGGCACCTGTGTGGTCAGAAGACAAATCAATTCAACGTCTTTCTGTGAGAACTCTTTCGTTCTGCAAGCCAGCACCTCGTGATCGTATACGGCAACAGTTCACCAGATACACGAACATTTAATACTCGCCATGTTACCATTCTGTTAGATATGTGGCTGCTTTGGTTGCTGCCATCCTGAAACTTATGAGCTGACTCAAAATTGCCGTGTGCCATTGTACCGAGGTGACTTTTGGGTTGACTCAAACTGTGTCGTGTGGCTTTGTAACGCACGAGGTGACTTTTGAGTCGACTCAAAATATGTCGTTTGTCATTGTAACGAAGTAACTTTTGAGTTGACTCCAAATGTATCGCGTGGCATTGTAACGAAGTGACTTTTGAGTCAACTCAAAATGTGTCGTGTGTCATTGTAACGAAGTGACTTTTGAGTTGACTCCAAATGTGTTCTGTGGCATTGTAACGAAGTGACTTTCGAGTTGACTCCAAATGTGTTTTGTGGCATTGTAACGAGGTGACTTTTGAGTCGACTCAAAATATGTCGTGTGTCATTGTAACGAAGTAACTTCTGAGTTGACTCCAAATGTATCGCGTGGCATTGTAACGAAGTGACTTTTGAGTTGACTCCAAATGTGTTCTGTGGCATTGTAACGAGGTGACTTTTGAGTCGACTCAAAATGTGTCGTGTGTCATAGTAACGAAGTGACTTTTGAGATGACTCCAAATGTGTTCTGTGGCATTGTAACGAAGTGACTTTTGAGTTGACTCCAAATGTGTTCTGTGGCACTGTAACGAAGTGACTTTTGAGTCGACTGAAAATGTGCCGTGCGCCATTGTAGCGAGGTGACTTTCGAGTCGACTCGACATGTGTCGTGTGGCATTATAACGAGTGAATTTTGAGTCTACTCAAAATTCACCATGCTGTTATTGGCATGGCTGCGTTGGTTGGTGTCACTTATTCTGTCTCCTTCAACCCCCTTTCACCACTTCTCCATCACTTCCAGAATTGCGTGGTTTGTCAGCAGGAGCCATTGCTGGCATTTATGTGGCTGCCATTGTTGTGGAACTTAAGCTGTCTCCTTCAATCTCCGTTTACCCCTTCACCTTCTCCCCTCAAAATCACTACCTTTTCCAGAATCGCTGTCACCAAGAGCCATTGCTGCCATTGCAGTGGCTGCTGTGGTTGCGCTCGTGCTGCTTCTGGCCGGTATATGGCTACTCAGAAGATACGTCAAGAAAGGTGCCGTCCAAGGAGCATCGACAGCAGGCAAGGAGAGCAGCGATGCTGTGCTTGCTAAGGATTTCCAAGGCAAGGAGAGCAGCAATGCTGTGTTGGCTAAAGCGTCGCAAGGCACGTTGGCACTGGCTCTTTCTGTATATTTGTCTCAATTTTGAGATTTCACAACGTGATCATACAGCAATCATCGACAGCAAGGCACGTCATTGTTGGCTCTTTCTCAGTCTCTTTTGTTTTTGAAGCTCCATTACATGTTCGTTTGTTTCAAGTCAGCCATAATGCCGTGCCCATATAAGTACGCCCACCGTCGCCCTACCGCTGACCTCAAGTGAGTGGCAGTTAGGCAAGGGATTCAAACCGCAGCAAGATGAAGTTGCCAGAATCTCTGCCCACTATATCCCCTTAACGAACTCCCCATGTGCACATACAGAAGGAAATGCCAGGAAGGAAGATCAACTGGAGCAGCAGCAGCAGCAGCGGCGGCAGCAGCGGCAGCTGCAGCAGCAGCAGCACCACCACCAATAATGGAAACTCCAGATCAAGGCATGGTGGTTGAAATGGGATTAGAAATGGTGAAGGATGCAGCACGACCACACTTGTGCCAGGAGTACCTGTTGGAAGAGCTTGAAAGGGCAACGGCGGATTGGGCAGAGGAGAACAGGATCGGCAGCGGCAGCTTTGGCGATGTGTACAAGGGGGTGTGTCCTCAGAGCGGCAGTCAAATGTGGGCGGTCAAGCGAGCGCGAGTACTTAGCAACGACTTCCAGACCGAGGTATGAGCTTCAATCAAAAACCCATGAATGAGAGGACACCCAATGAGCTTAAAACCATGGCAATGTGTACAAGGGGGTGTCCCCACAAAGCGGCAGTCAAACGTGGGCGGTCAAGCGAGTGAGAGTCACCAACGACTGCCAGACTGATGTGTGTCTTTCATTCTCCAAACCGAGGTATTGCAGATTGTTTTTGAGAATTCTAAAAAACAATCTGCATCTATCAATTTCCGAACCGAGGTATGTGCATCTAACAATTCCCAAACCGAGGTATGAGCTTCAATCAATTACCATGAATAGAGGACTCCTCAAAAAGCTTAACACCATGGCGATGTGTACAAGGGGGTGTCTCCTCAGAGCTGCTCTCAGCTGTGGGCAGTCAAGCGAGGCAAAATACTCACCAACGATTTCCAGACCAAGGTGAGAGCTTCAACACCATGAGCGAGGTATGAGCTGCACCACCATGAGCGAGGTATGAGCTGCACCACCATGAGCGAGGTATGAGCTGCACCACCATGAGCGAGGTATGAGCTGCACCACCATGAGCGAGGTATGAGCTGCACCACCATGAGCGAGGTATGAGCTGCACCACCATGAGAGAGGTATGAGCTGCACCACCATGAGCGAGGTATGAGCTGCACCACCATGAGCGAGGTATGAGCTGCACCACCATGAGCGAGGTATGAGCTGCACCACCATGAGCGAGGTATGAGCTGCACCACCATGAGCGAGGTATGAGCTGCACCACCATGAGCGAGGTATGAGCTGCACCACCATGAGCGAGGTATGAGCTGCACCACCATGAGCGAGGTATGAGCTGCACCACCATGAGCGAGGTATGAGCTGCACCACCATGAGCGAGGTATGAGCTGCACCACCATGAGCGAGGTATGAGCTGCACCACCATGAGCGAGGTATGAGCTGCACCACCATGAGCGAGGTATGAGCTGCACCACCATGAGCGAGTTATGAGCTGCACCACCATGAGCGAGGTATGAGCTGCACCATCATGAGCGAGGTATGAGCTGCACCTCTGAAGTGTGAGAGGAATAGCCTCCACCATACGACAATGGTCTCACCAACGGTTTCAACTCCACAAGAATTCTGCATATTTCTCCGCTCAGTGTCTATTGAGGCCTTGTTGCTCCCACTCCCTTTATCACGCCCTCGCCCTGCCCCGACCCCACCCACCTTGCCCTTTCATTTCTAGGTGAGGGAGATGGCACCGAAGCACCACCCTCATCTCGTGCGGCTGCTGGGCTACTGCATCGACTTCAACCCATCCACGCGCCACATAGAGCAGATCCTTGTCTATGAGTACATGGAGAATCGCGACCTCGAGAGCTCCTACCCACTCCCTCTCTAATTCCCTCGCCCTTTCCCCTACTCCCCTCCTCTTCGCCCATGCCAGGTGAGGGAGATGGCAAGCAAGCACCACCCGCATCTCGTGCGGCTGCTGGGCTACTGCATCGACTTCAACCCATCCACACGCCACATAGAGCAGATCCTCGTCTACGAATACATGGAGAACCATGACCTTGAAAGTTGGATCGGCCCGGGGGCCTCCCACCCTCTTTCCCTGCGGCAACGGCTGGATGTTCTGATTGGAGTGGCTAAGGGGCTGCAATATCTGCACGACTTTGGGATTGTGCATCGCGACATCAAGCCCGCTAACATTCTCCTTGATTCTAAGATGAATGTAAGCCGTTGTTGGTGATGAGAGGTGTATGAAAGGGGCTGCAGTTTCTGCATGACTTTGGCATCGTGCATTGCGACATCAAGCCAGACAAAATTCTCCTCGATGCAGTTTTGCAAGCACGCTTCTGCTCGTTCATCTATGTTATTTATGTTTTGTATGCCACACAAGCTCTTGCCTCTTTCACATGCTTCACTGAGTCGCTGAGACCAAGTTTGATGGTTCAGTATTCTTTGTGCTCATGTATTTATAATATGTGAATCGGGATTGCTCACTCGTTTTTTTAATTATTAATCGGGCTGTGCTGATGGAGGCCAAGATAGCGGACTTTGGGCTGTGTGGATCCCGCTCACCCCACACCACGGTCCAAAGTTTGAAAGTTCAACATTCTCTGTGCTCATGCATTTCGATATTTACGAGCAGGCCAAGATAGCGGACTTTGGGCTGGTGAAGCTGAGTGGAGGCACCACCATGGGCACCTCAGTGGCCGCCACCAGAGTGACAGGCACACCAGGCTATGTAAACCCCTCCCGTATATCTTCAAAGCACAGAACAAATAGTTCACCATCCCTTGTGCTCATGCGTTCCTGTTCGCGAGCAGGCCAAGATAGCGGACTTTGGGCTGGTGAAGCTGAGTGGAGGCACCTCCATGGGCACCTCAGTGGCTGCCACTCGAGTGATGGGCACACCGGCTATGTGGACCCCCCTCCTGCATATCTTCAAAGCACAAGTTTGACTGTTCGCCATCCTTTGTTCTCTGCGTTCCTGTTCACGAGCAGGCCAAGATAGCAGACTTTGGGCTGGTGAAGCTGAGTGGAGGCACCACCATGGGCACCTCAGTGGCCGCCACTCGAGTAATGGGCACACCGGGATACGTGGACCCCTCTTACTACAAGACACACAAGGCAACACCAGCAGCAGACGTGCACAGGTAAAGAGCAGCGCTAAGTGGTGTAAGCTGGTTTTTTCCTACAAGGAAGTATGTGAGAGTGATGGGCACACCGGGCTATGTGGACCCTGCTTATTACAAGACACACAAGGCCACACCAGCAGCGGACGTGCACAGGTGGGTTTTGAACATGGTATTATGATGAAATTATGCTGCTTGCCAGCCATTGCATTTGGTTATGCGGCTCGTGCTCTTTGCCAATTTTTGTTGCTCATGATGTCTCTACCATTTCATCTGGTAGTTTTCTGTTGCCACCTCGTGCTGCTTTGTGGGCAGCTTTGGGGTGGTGATGCTGGTGGTCATAACGGCATGCAAGGCCGTTCACATGACAGACGACGTTCAAATCAACCTCAAGCAATGGGTGAGGCTCAACTATGAGGCACCTAAAACATTGGCCGTTTTTTTATGCACATCAAAAAAAGAAACGGCGTTCAGATCAACCTCAAGCAATGGGTAAGGATCAACCAAGGCATACAGACGTGGAACAAAGCATGCCAATCCAACGCATTCAAGGACCCTCACTTGGCCGCTCCAGACGACTTTCTGCTGCGCCTGGCTCGCCTCGCCCTCACCTACACAGCCATGCCCACAGCCTCCCTTCTTTCCACCCTGCTTGCAGGTGGCTCCCCTAGTGGAGTCTGGAGCTGTAACAGCATTCAAGGACTCTCACTTAAACGCTCCAGATGATTTAGTCCTGCGTCTGGCTCGCCTCACCCTCACCTGCACGGCCATGCCCACAGCCTCCCTTCTTTCCACCCTGCTTGCAGGTGGCTCCTCTAGTGGAATCTGGAGCTGTAGCATCATTCAAGGACCCTCACCTGGATGCTCCAGTCGACTTGCTGCTGCGCCTGGCTCGCCTCGCCCTCACCTGCACAGCCATGCCCACAGCCTCCCTTCTTTCCACCCTGCTTGCAGGTGGCTCCCCTAGTGGAATCTAGAGCTGTAACAGCATTCAAGGACTCTCACTTAAACGCTCCAGATGATTTAGTCCTGCGCCTGGCTCGCCTCGCCCTCAGCTGCACAGCCATGCCCACAGCCTCCCGCCCCACCATGGGCCGCGTGTTGGGGGATCTGCTGGGCATGCAGGAGGAGGTGCTTGGGGGGGCGGAGGTGCACGGAGCTGCATGCAAAATTGACAGGGAGATTGGCAGCTCAGCGGCTCATTCGGTGGACTTTGATGCTCAGCTGGCTCGAGTGGAGCAGATTGGCTCGCAGAGCCATTCAAGTAGTAATGCATGAAGGAAGAGGTGCTAGGGGGGGCTGAGGCGCACAGCGCTGCATGGCGCATTGACAGGGAGTTCTGCTGAGGCGGAGGCGCATCGGCCCACCATGGGCCGCGTGTTGGGGGATCTGCTGGGCATCAAGGAGGAGGTGCTAGAGCGGGCAGAGGCGCACAGAGCTGCATGCTGCATTGACAGGGAGATTGGCAGCTCAGCAGGTGTGGATTTCAATGCTCAGCTGGCTCGAGTGGAGCAGATGGGCACGCAGAGCCATTCAAGCCGTAATGCATGACATGCACAGCTTTTGGGGGGGGGGGAGGCAGTCACACACGGAGCTGCATGCCGCATTGACAGGGAGATTTGCAGCTCAGCGGCTCACTCGGTGGACTTTGAAGCTCAGCTGGCTCGAGTGGAGCAGATGGGCCCACGGATTAGTTTGCCTAGTAATGCATGAATGATAGGCACAGGGCTGCGTGTTTCATTGCCAGGATATTGGCAGCTCAGCGGCTCACTCGGTGGACTTTGATGCCCAGCTGGCTCGTGTGCAGCAGATGGAAGCACAGAGCCGTGTGCTTGGGGGGGCAGAGGTGCACAGAGCTGCATGCAAATGTGTAGGTGTAAATAGTTTGGTTCCATCTTGAAAATTTTGCAAATAGGATTGAGGTTCACCATGGGTTACCGTACTAGACTCTGCTGGATTCGATACCGTATTTGAGCTTGCGAATAAGGAGTAACTAAATCGTAATAATGTAATCTGTACAAATTGAGATTGTTCTTTTGAAAGACGTCTTTGTGGAAAGGTAACAGAAAACTACGGTAGTTGTCATGTCAATCATATTTCTACGGCTTGACTTGAGACGAGATCTTTTGTGCAATCTCAGAAAAAACGCGTCCCCGATGCTCAAAGTTGTCAAACTCATCGAAGCTGGCGCATGCTGGGCTGAGAAGAATCGTGTCGCCTGGAGGAGTGGTGTGAGCAGATAGGGGTGGGGAGAGGTGGGAGGAGGTGAGGTGAAATTGGGTGGTTGGGTAAGGGAGCAAAGACGAGTCCCCGTTGCTCGAAGTTGTCAAAGTCATCGAAGCTGGCACATGCTGGGCTGAGAAGAATCGTGTCACCTGGAGGAGTGGTGTGAGCACATGATGGGACGGGGAAAGGTGGGAGGAGGTGAATCTTGGTGACAAGGGACGAGAGAGACGCACGGGAAGGAAGAGGAGACAAAAGTATGAAGTTCACAATGACGAGCAGAGACTTAACCCACATGCATCGCCTGCTACAATGTTACGCATTGACTACTAACGGAGATGGAGATATCAGCTGGGCCTCGGAACTTGGCACTGAGCAGCAGGGGTAGCGGTATGTGCAGCAGGATGCTTGGTTTGCTGCATAGTGAGGTGGCGTGAGTGGAATACCCGAGTGGATATTGTGTTGTTGAAAGAGAGGATTGGGCAGAGATACTGCAGACTGTGAGCTGCTGTGAGCTGCTGTGAGCTGCTGTGAGCTGCTGTGAGCTGCTGTGAACAGAGACATGACTCACCAGGGAAGTGTTAGAATTAGGCTGTCAACACTTTGTGTACTATATTCTATATCGTTGTAGGTTATTTGTAGGTTGGGTGTAGATTGTGATCCCAACCCTATCTGGTTGGGATACCCTCGTAATCCGGCAACTCTGCCAACTCACCATTGGAGATTTGCCAGAATCCCATCCCATCCTTTCCCTAGCTTTGCTCAACCCAACCTTGTTTGTACTTAAGGCCTAGTGCCTTCTCTACTAATCAATCAATTCAGCTCCAATTCTATCAGGAGGGAGTGCTGTATCTGCAGCAGCACGCGTGACTTGCTCTGCAACGAGGTGCACTGAATGAGAGTGGTAGAGAAACCCTAGCTGAGTCTATGAGATCTTACAAGTCGACCCCAGGCAGTGAGCTCTAGACTCGCCAGGAAGAGGTGTGTCCGCAGCAGCACGCATGGCTTGCTGCAACGTGGTGCGGTGAATGTGAGCGACTGAAAGACCTGCGGCTGTATGCATTACTTGCTGTCTGTATGCAAGTCGACTCGAACATCACCACAACACTCACCAGGGAGAGTAGTCTTGGTCGGCCGCAGTACGCATTACTTGCTGCATCATGGTGCAGCGGCTGAGAGAGGTCAAACAGCGAGGCTCGAGGTCGACTCAACAACGATGACAAACATCAAGACGTCTCAAAACCCAGAATGACTTTTGAGTCGACTCAGCAACGACAAACACTGACCCCCAGTTTCAAGACGTCTCAAAACCCCCAAGGGACCCAAAGCAGTTACCGCAGCACTCACCAGGTAGGGCCGTCTCGGCAGCAGCATGCATGGCTTGCTGCATTGTTGTGCAGTGAATGAGAGCGACTGATAGACCTGCGGCTGTGAGCTCACTGGCCATGGACGGGCCTGATTGGCCGAACTGATGGGAGGGGAGAGGAAGGGATGGGGGAGAGACGATGGGATGGGATGGTGGAGCAGTGGATGGGTGGATGGAAAGACGTGAGGCTGTGAGCTCACTGGCAATAGACGGGCCTGATTGGCCGAACTGATGGGAGCATGGGAGAAGAGGAGGGGGGAGAAAGGTGGATGGGGAGGGAGTGGGATGGGATGGGATGGGATGGGATGGGATGGGATGGGATGGGATGGGATGGGATGGGATGGGATGGGATGGGATGGGATGGGATGGGATGGGATGGGATGGGATGGGATGGGACGGGATGGGATGGGATGGGATGGGATGGGATGGGATGGGACGGGATGGGATGGGATGGGATGGGATGGGATGGGATGGCACGGGATGGGATGGCACGGGATGGGATGGGATGGGATGGGATGGGATGGGATGGGATGGGATGGGATGGGATGGGATGGGATGGGATGGGATGGGATGGGATGGGATGGGATGGGATGTTGTGGCAGTGGATGAATTGATGGATGGAGAGACAGAGGCCGTGACGTCGCTGGGAATGATTGGGAGAGAAGAAACGCCCACTGTAACCAGCCAGCCACTGGGACGAGCTTGGAATGATTGAGAGAGAAGCAACTCCCACCACAGTGCAATCGCCACTGTCCTCTCATCACTGTTGACTCAGTAGCTCCCACTTGTGTCAACACTTTTTCGTCGTCTGAAAAAAAATGTTGCATTAGGGCGTGTAACCATTTTGTTTGTTTGTTTGTTTGTTTGTTTTTTTTTTTTTGTTTTTTTTTTTTGTTTGTTTTTTTTTTTGTGTTTTTGCGGACAGCCCGTTTTTTTCCATTCGGACGGTCCTAATAACGAGGATAGGACCGTCCGAATCGACGGTTCGGCACGTTGATACCGTCCGAAGTGGATGGTGACACTTTTTCGAGTCTCTTCAAATTCGCGATTGTAGCATAGCGAGAAGCACTGTACTTTTCGTAACCAAAGTAACGAATTTCGATATTTCTCGTAAACAGCTCCGTAAATCGAAATTTGTATTTTTTTACATTTCGTCAGCCAATCTCGTGCAAGGAATTTTGGACGGTCCGAATGTGTTTCGGACTGTCCGCTTCTGACATTTCGAACCGTTGAAGTGGGGAAAAAGTGTCACAGACAAAATGCCAAACGAACATCCTAACGACAAAATGCGACGTTAGTAACCTTTCACCACCCGGACGGTCCACAATTCCGACCGTCCGGCCCAAAAAATAGCAAAATGGTTACACGCCCTTAGTGTTGCCTAAACAGTACCATTCTGGGCAACACGACGACGGTGCATGGGTGATTCAGCACAAAGGGAAGAGCTTGGAGAAACCAAGCGGGAGGAAGGGCTGAGGAGGAGCAGCACACTTGTTATAATCACAAACACCACACAGCTGGGCCGTGATGCTGTAATAGCTTGTTATAATCACAAACACCACACAGCTGGGCTGTATTGCTGGTTGAGCACTGGAACGAGCTTAGAGAAGCCCAGAGGGGAGGTGATGGATGCTTCAGCTGTCTGCCTTGCAGCTGCACTCACTCACTATAATCACAAACACCACAAGAGCACTCACCGTAATCACAGCTCGATGGCGATTAAGCACTGGGACGAGCTTGGAGAAGCCCAGCGGGAAGGACGGAGCAGGATTGGTGTGTCTCACACACATACTCAGTCGCTATCATCACCAACGCCACACATACAGACACCAAAACAGCTCACCGTGGTCACGGCTCGATGGCGATTGAGCACTGGGACGAGCTTGGAGAAGCCCAGAGGGGAAGAGGAGAGAGCAGCCTTGAGATGTTTCCCACCTACACGCGCTCATTATAGTCACAAACACCCCACACACACACTCACTGTAATCACGGCTCGATGGCGATTCAGCACTGGGACGAGCTTGGAGAAGCCCAGAGGGGAGGAGGCGTCAGATGCTCCTCCTTCGTCTGTTGCTGCAAGGGACTTCAAGACCTGAGAGCAGAGCAACGCAACAAGCACAAGTCATGAAGACCAGCGGAGAACAACAGAACAAACTATTTCTTTCAAGACCTGCGAGAGAAAGGAAAGAAGCAAAACTTATTGAACCTCCTCTTTCATCCAGTTCTGCAAGGAACTTACAAGTCGTGAGACCAATGCAATGCATCAGAGAACACACCACCACCATCAAGAGAAACAAGTGAGTACAGTGGAATCAACCAGGGTATAGGCAGCTGAAGGTGCTACAGGCGTTGTCTCACCTTCATTGCTAGTCATTTGACAAGAGGCCGGCTAGGCCGGCAGGGGAGGCAGGAAAGCATGTACCTAAACTTTCCGAACCACTCTAAATGACACACTCTTCATGTGCACGAGATGAATGAACAGCCTGCCACGTCGAACCTTAGCCATCCCTCCTTTTCCCTCCCTCCCACCGTTGATCGCACCTTAGCTATTCCTCCAAGCAGAATTACAGCCGTAGATTCATCTCCCAGACCTTCGATCCCAGCCGTTGATGCCTCCACGTTGGTGGCCTTGCTGTCGTTGATCCACGCGCGATCCTGACCGTCCACTACCACTGCAGGACGGAGGGGAAGAAAAAACAATACAGGACATCTCTTTTACATCCTTCAAATGATCCACGCGCGATCCTGACTGTCCACTACCACTGCAGGACGGAGGGGAAGGGGAGGGGAAAAGAAAAGAGGCGTAGGAGGAGTGTAAGTGAGGACGGGATATGCCCACCCAGCAGCCGTCAGCCTGATACCCAGTGTCTGTCAGCAATCTCACTCACTCACTCACTCACTCACTCACTCACTCACTCACTCACGCACGCACGCACACACACACACACTCACTCACACACTCACTCACTCACTCACTCACTCACCCAGCTCCATGCGGTGTGGGGGCGGCTGCAGCACCTTCACAGCACTCTGCACCCCTTCCAACCGCACTCCACTGCTCTCCATCCCCAGCGCCAGGCACAGCAGCGCCGCCACAGCTGCATTCTCTGCGTTGTGCCTGCCCACAGCTTGTAACGCGGACAGATCCAGTGTCAGAAGAGGGGCTTGGTCTCCCGTGCTGCTGCCGTGGCCGTTACTGCTCTCCTTGCTGTCCTTGCTCTCCTTGCTGTCCTTGCTCTCCTTGCTGTCCTTGCTCTCCTTGCTGTCCTTGCTCTCCTTGCTGTCCTTGCTCTCCTTGCTGTCCTTGCTCTCCTTGCTGTCCTTGCTCTCCTTGCTGTCCTTGCTCTCCTTGCTGTCCTTGCTGTCCTTGCTGTCCTTGCTCTCCTTGCTGTCCTTGCTCTCCTTGCTGTCCTTGCTCTCCTTGCTGTCCTTGCTCTCCTTGCTGTCCTTGCTGTCCTTGCTCTCCTTGCTGTCCTTGCTCTCCTTGCTGTCCTTGCTCTCCTTGCTCTCCTTGCTCTCCTTGCTCTCCTTGCTCTCCTTGCTGTCCTTGCTCTCCTTTCCCCCACTGTCCCCCCTGCTGCTCTCCTTGCTGTCCTTGCCCCCGCTGCCCCCCCTGCTTCTCTCCTTGTCAGCACTGGCACTAGTCGTGGAGAGTGGTAGTTGCAGCAAGGCGGTTCTCTCTTCGTGGTTGACAGTGCATCCAGGTAGCTGCCCCAGCCATGCCATGCTGGGGTGTCCCCCTGCCTCCCCTGCTAGCCGCGTGAGCAGCGGGTCGTCTGTGGGAACGAAGCAAGGGTGGAACAGGAAGGGACAAGTGAGAGCGCATAACCTGGTTCTCTCAGCATGGTTCACGGTGCATCCGGGTAGCTGGCCCAGCCACGCCATGCTGGGGTGTCCCCCTGCCTCCCCTGCTAGCCGCGTGAGCAGCGGGTCATCTGTGGCAGGGGGGGGTGGGACAGGAAGGAAGGAGCGGAAGCAGAGGGGAGGTGGCAGCTGCAGCAAGGAAGTTCTCTCTTCATGATTCACGGTGCACCCAGGCAGCTGACCCAGCCATGCCGTAATGGGGTGCCCCCCTGCTTCCCCTTGCCAGTTGTGTGAACAGAGGATTGTCTGTGGGAACGAAGGAAGGGTGGGTAAGTGGGACAGGAACGAGAGGAGGCAGAAGCACATATATACCTTGGTTCTCCCAACCATGGTGTGCAGGTTTGACGTCCTCCCTGCCCTGCTTGACGCATAGCAGAGGATAATGTGTGGCAAGAGTGGGTGAGAGGGAGAGGAACGAGCAGAGGCAGAGACAAACAAGGGCGCATAGATCGGTTTACTCGCCATGCAAGTTGGCCCTTGAGTCAACTCAAAAGTCAACTTTCAAAGCTGGATTCTCTCGCCGTGCGTGCGACCTGCTTCCTGGAGAGAACTGAATCAGAAACGAATGAAGAATCGGAATCAGAGGCAGGATCGTGCTTACCTGATGGGATGATTGCCACGTCAGACTCTCCCATGCGCGCAAACAGACGACACTTTGCCGCCCCGTAGCTCTCCATGTCACCGTGCCTCTCCAGGTGGTCCGGCGTGAGGTTCAGAATGACCGCAGCCTTGGGACGGAACCTTCCAGGCAACTCCATCTGGTAGCTGCTCACCTCCACCACTGCTGCCTGCACAGGGGGGGTGGGTAAGAGTGTTGGTTGGTGGAAGAGAAGGGTGGGAGTGGAGGTGGGGATATGAGAGGATGAGCGAGACGAGATGCATGTTACAGTTGCTACTGGCCTCACAAGGGGAGGCTTTATCTATGTGGTAGCTACTCACCTCCACCACTGCTACCTGCACAGGGGGGGTGGGTAAGAGTGTTGGTGGAATGGCAGAGTAGGAGTGGAGGTGGGGGGATGAGGGGATGAGCGAGACAATATACAAGAGATGAGAGGACGAATGCTTTTGAGTCGGCTTTTGAGTCGACTCAAGAGCAAGACGATATACAAGAGATGAGAGGACGAATGAGACACGATATGCGTATCAACAACATTTGTTGTGGCTCCACCCATCTGGTAGCAGCTTACCACCTCTGCTGCTGGGACAGTGGGTGGGTAAGAGTGATGTGATGGTGAAAGGGCAGGGTGGGAGTGGACGTGGGGGGATGGGGATGAGTAGATCGAGATGAGCTGGGTGGAGATGGGGTGACGAGAGGATTGGTGGAGGGAAGGAATGAGTGATGGGATGGGACAGATGGACAAGTGAAACGAGGGGAGGGAGGAACCGGTATCTGCTCACCTCCACCGCACCACTGCAGCCTGTAGTAATCACTTATTACTTGTTTAACCACACCTGCTACAATCACACCTGATTCACTCACACACCTGGAAGGGCTTGGAGCTGCCGGTGAGACCGTGCTGTGCCGATGTGACAAAATCGAGGGCTGCCAGAGAGAGGGGCGTGCCCAGATTTCCGCCCACAAATGTGTGAATTCCAATGGACTCGAGAATCTGAGAGAAGGGAGAAACGGAAATTAGAGTACACTTGTGAGAGCGGACTCGAAAGCCACCAGCGAGAGGGACGTGCCCGGATTGCCGCCCACAAACGTGTGGATTCCAATTGACTCGAGAATCTGAGCAGGGAACAAGAAGGAAACGGGCATGGGGGGAATGGGGCGAAGGGTTAGAAGGTGAGGCATGCGCTGCCACTGCCAGCAAGAGGGGTGTTCCCAGATTGCCGCCCACAAATGGTGTGGATTCTGATGTGCTCAAGAACCTGAAAAGGACCAACAAGGGGCATCAGGGGAGACTTTAGAGTTCACTCCAAGGTCAGCTAGGAGAGGGGAGTGCCCAGATTGCCACCCACAAATGCGTGGATTCCAACAAAAAAAAAAAGGCACCAGAGGAGACTCTTGAGTCGGTCAACAGGGAGAGGGGCGTCCCTAAGTTGCCGCCCACAAATGTGTGGATTTCGATAGACTCGAAGATCTGAGAAAGGAAAGATAGTGGGCATTAAAGGGGGAACGGAAGGAAGGGCGGACAGGGGTGAGTGAAAAGGGTTAAAGCTGAGAAGTAAACTGATGAAACTTCCAGGCGAATGCTAGGGGAGAGATAGCAAGAGGATACAGATAGCAGATAGCAAGAGGAGGAGTCAGTATGTGTCCATTTCAAGTAGGCTAGGGCATACGGCATGGAAGTCTCATTTGGAACAGAGAGATACTAACTGACTTTCCCCTTGCTGTCACTCTCCCCTTGCAAACTTACGCTTTACGAACACCACCATACACTACACATTGAACTACAGCAATCCCACATTCCACGTCAGCACCTGCCACGTCATCATCACCTGGCCTGCAAACGTGGCGACAGTGGATTTGCCGTTGGTCCCAGTGACGGCAGCAATGGGCAGTCCAGGTGGCAGGCTGTCATAGGCGAATGCCAGCTCAGATAGCATCGGCACGCCCTGAAACAAGGGGGTTGAGGGTGGGAGAAAGAGAGGGCAAGGAGTGGGGGAGGGGAGGAGGAGAACAGTGGAGGTGAGGCGATATTGGAGCAGTTGAAATCTGGAACTAAAAGCAGTGACTGGGTTGAGGCAAACACGAGTGATAGGGAGAACAGACATGCAATAAGCGAGAGGTGAGAGGTGAGAGGTGAGAGGTGAGAGAGGCAAGAGGGGGATTGACGAGTCTGATGCATGTGCAAGCAAGCTCGTACCTGAAAAAGCGCCTGGCTTATTGTGGGCTCTGAAAGCGGAACGCCAGGAGACAGGATGACGAGGGAGGCGGACAGGAGGAGGGGGAGCGGGTGGGGGCCCAGATGGGTGGAGAGGCGAGAGACGAGAGGGGGAGAGGAGATGGGTTCTGGAAGCCCATTCCAGACGCTTGGATCGTCCTGGTGGGTGGGAGAGAGAGGGGGTTACATGCACAATCAGTTGGTAAAGAGACTGCATAAGGTGAGGGGATGGGTGGGAGGAGAGGAGATGGGTTCTGGAAGCCCATTCCAGACGCTTGGATCGTCCTGGTGGGTGGGAGAGAGAGGGGGTTACATGCACAATCAGTTGGTAAAGAAACTGCATAAGGTGAGGGGATGGGTGGGAGGAGAGGAGATGGGTTCTGGAAGCCCATTCCAGACGCTTGGATCGTCCTGGTGGGTGGGAGAGAGAGGGTGTTACATGCACAATCAGTTGGTAAAGAAACTGCATAAGGTGAGGGGATGGGTGGGAGGAGAGGAGATGGGTTCTGGAAGCCCATTCCAGACGCTTGGATCGTCCTGGTGGGTGGGAGAGAGAGGGGGTTACATGCACAATCAGTTGGTAAAGAAACTGCATAAGGTGAGGGAATGGTTGGGAGGAGAGGAGATGGGTTCTGGAAGCCCATTCCAGACGCTTGGATCGTCCTGGTGGGTGGGAGAGAGAGGGGGTTACATGCACAATCAGTTGGTAAAGAGACTGCATAAGGTGAGGGGATGGGTGGGAGGAGAGGAGATGGGTTCTGGAAGTCCATTCCAGACGCTTGGATCGTCCTGGTGGGTGGGAGAGAGAGGGGGTTACATGCACAATCAGTTGGTAAAGAAACTGCATAAGGTGAGGGGATGGGTGGGAGGAGAGGAGATGGATTCTGGAAGCCCATTCCAGACGCTTGGATCGTCCTGGTGGGTGGGAGAGTGAGGGGGTTACATGCACAATCAGTTGGTAAAGAAACTGCATAAGGTGAGGGGATGGGTGGGAGGAGAGGAGATGGGTTCTGGAAGCCCATTCCAGACGCTTGGATCGTCCTGGTGGGTGGGAGAGAGAGGGGGTTACATGCACAATCAGTTGGTAAAGAAACTGCATAAGGTGAGGGGATGGGTGGGAGGAGAGGAGATGGATTCTGGAAGCCCATTCCAGACGCTTGGATCGTCCTGGTGGGTGGGAGAGAGAGGCAAGCGAGCAGGAGCAGGAGAGGGTGGGTGTACCCAAATGGGTGGAGAGGGAAGGAGAGGAGGCGGGATCTGGAAGTCCGTCCCAGATGCTTGGATCGTCCTGGTGGGTGGGAGAGAGAGAGGAGAGAGATGAGAGAGAGGAGAAAGAGGGGGTTAGATGAAGATGGTAGACGAGAGAATTAACAAGAGAACCAGACTAAAGTGCTTGAAGGAGGGAAGGGGAGGGGCGGGGGGGGGGCTGGAAACCCGTCTCAGATGATTGATTTGTCCTGGTGGGTGGAAGAGAAGTACAAGGAGTGAGACGAGAGAGGAGGAGATGAGGCCAAGAAGCGAGAGACGAGAGAGGCGAGCAAGGGAGAGCAGGGAAAGTGATGAAAAGAGGAGCGGCGTCATGTCAAGTTGCTTGAACGGACGAGAGAAAACCGAGCGCAATCAATGAAGCCTAGAGAGGGGAGAGAAGAAAAACAAAGAAAAGGTGGTTCTTGAGTCGACTCAAAAGTCAGGGACAAGGAAGAGAAGGACCAGAACAAAGCACTCCCTAAACTAGAGGACTCACCCTCAACACTATAGCATATGCGTTAAGCACTCATGCCACGACTCATGGTGTCAGCAGAAACAACACGCGCACCTCTAGCGCCTTGGCGTCTGTCCTCCTGTCTAAGCCGATCACAGCAGCAGCACCCCTCGCTAGGGCCAGGCGCGCTGCTGCCATGCCTGATGCTCCCAGGCCTACCACCTGAGAGGGGGAAAAAGTGTGGTGTGTGAAAGGGGCATGGGTGAGGGAGCGCCTTGGCGTCTGTCCTCCTATCCAGGCCGATCACAGCAGCAGCTCCCCTCGCTAGGGCCAGGCGCGCTGCTGCTCTGCCTGACGCTCCCAGGCCTACCACCTGGGAGGAGGAAGAGGGGTGGGTGGGAGGGGCATGGGCGAGGGATTAGCGAGTGAGCGACAGGTGACAGAGTTCTGATCACAGCAGCAGCTCCCCTTGCTAGGGCCAGGCGCGCTGCTGCCCTGCCTGACGCTCTCAGACCTACCACCTGAGAGGGGGAAAAAGTGTGGTGCGTGAAGTGAAAGGAGTATCGGTGAGGGAGCGCCTTGGTCTCTGTCCTCCTGTCCTCCAGGCCGATCACAGTAACAGCTCCCCGCGCTAGAGCCAGGCGCGCTGCTGCTCTGCCTGACGCTCCCAGGCCTACCACCTGGGAGGAGGAAGAGGGGTGGGCGGGCGAGGCATGGGCGTGGGTGAGCCAGCATGAGATGAGCAATTCTAAAACGACATTTGAAGGCTCTGTCTGATGCTCCCCGGCCTACCACCTGAGAGGGGAAAGAGTGGTGGTGGGAGGGGTGGGTGGAATGGGCGAGGGAGGAGAGGGCATGAGAGAAGCCGATCACAGCAGCAGCTCCCCTCGCTAGGGCCAGGCGCGCTGCTGCCCTGCGCTCCCAGACCTACCACCTGGAGGGGGAAAAGTTGTGGGTGGAGGAGGCATGGGGTGAGGACGGAGAAATGTGAGAGGAATGAGTGTGATAGGGGGCATGACGGAGGAACCAGAGAGGAAGGCTGAGAGAAAGGAAGTGCTATGACTCAGGGAGGCTCTTGAAGGACCATGAGAAGAGCAAGAATTCAGAGACGATTAGCCCTTGCAAGGATTAAAGAATCAAAGGAAATCCAGCGATTTCCTTTCCTTGCTGGAAGGAACTTCAGCAGTGACTCGGACGTCCAGCGGCTTACAACAATCGTCTGGCCAGCCAAATCCCCAGTCGGAATGTCACTTGTAACGGCTGAATCCATTGCCGATCCGCCTGCGGCCGCAACCACCGCCCGTCGTTGACCTTCATGTGCCAGCGCTGCTGTCGTTGCATGATCAGAATGGGTGACAGTATCGAAGGGAGCGCCGTCTGTTCCTCTAACGAACGCGTTCTTCATGCTTGCGAACTCTGAGGAGACGAATTCGGGGTGACGTTCTAGAAAACGATTCCGCCGCCGTGTGCGATTGGTCGCTGGCAGCACAGCAGCAGCCAACACTGGAACGGTGTCTCTACTCGAAGCAGCGTTGAAGGGAGAAACGGTGTGAATCGAGAGTTGGGTGGCTGGAATCGCGGTCGGGAGATAAGCAGCCATAAAGGCAGGCGCTCCGGGTGGCTACGATTTACTGAAAGCGCAAGACCTACTCAGGAATTTAAAGCCGAGAGGTCCCGGATGCGCGGAGCCGCGGAGGCGAGGACTCGGGGAAGGGGCGACGAGGCGCGGAAGGGAGGAGGCGCGGAGGTGAAGAGGCGCGGGGGCGCGCCTGTGAGGAGGTGAGGAGGCGAGGAGGCGCGGAGGCGCGGAGGCGCGCTTACGAGGAGGCGACGTGGCGCGCCTGCGAGGAGGCGAGGCGCGTACCTACGTGCGGTGAGGAGCAAATTATCTGTGTAGTGTCCTGCATCTACGGCTCTACATCTGCTGTTTCAACGAATGCTGTTTCGCTCGTTAGCAAAGAATGATTTGGCTGTGGCAGCCATGTTAGGAAGTATTGACTGCAAGCTCTCAACTCACAAGTATACTAAGTACCCGTAGTGATGGTCTGGCAAGCAAAAATAAATCAGGTCATTCCTATCTCCACCTCACACCATGGGCCGCCTGGGCCATAATTCACATCAACCGCTCACAAAACCATGTACGGTATATTTGTATGTACACCTTTACTTCATGGCGAAGACTTTCTGCCATGCTGGCCGAGACGAGATTCTCTCCCACCATTTGTTCACGTTAGGCCGTGAGGTTATGACATCAGAATCTCCAGACACCCAGAGCATGGCAGTGTACGGCAGGTGGACCAGGTCCGCCAGGGAATAGAAGGAGCCAGCCAGGTAGTCATTTGAAGCCAAGCGTGCCTCATACACGTCAAGGACTTGGGAGAGCTGCAAAATTAGGGAGCAAAAAGGCAATGGTCGCAGGACAGAAGGGTGCAAGGAGACGGGGAAAAAGAGTCAACAATAGGGAGTTATGCCGCGAGGTTATGACATCAGAATCGTCGGACACCCAGAGCATGGCAGTGTACGGCAGGTGAACCAGATCCGCCAGGGAGAAGAAGGAGCCAGCCAGGTAGTCATTTGAAGCCAAGCGTGCCTCATACACGTCAAGGACTTGAGAAAGCTGTAGATAGAAACCGGAGGGAAGGATGAGGGGAGGGGGAGGGGGGGAAGAGTAGGGGGGGGTGTGGGGGAGGGGGGAGGGGGTAGGGGGGAGGGGAAGGGTAAAAAAGGGAGTAAGGAGATGAGGTGGTGAATTGCGCAAGGCAAACAGGTGCAGAGAGAAGAAAGGGCAGGGCGGATTTATGATACGGTCCGGACATGCCAAGGAAGAAGAGAGGGACAACGGACAGTTCTCCAAATGAACATACCTTTGCCTTGTATTCCGCTGCCTTGGTCTCGTCTGTGGCCAGTCCCTTCCTAGGCTTGAAAATCTTCTCAGCTATCAGCCCAGAAATAGGGGGGTTGTAGTTTTGAGACTCCACCTCCAGCCACAAATTCACCAGCGCACGCTCCTGTTGCACACATGCAAGTAGAATAAACCATGAAAGAGAGAATCGTACAGTGCGTGCCTAGGTCTAACGCGAGTGACAAATACAGCATCGTGGGGACTCCACACTGTGGAGCATCAGACTGACGACAGTTTTGAAGGCCCCGAAAGGCGATAGGGTCTTGCCTTAAGGGTGGAACCGAGGAGGTTTGTGCCTTGTTCAGCGTACTTGTCAGCCACATATCGTGCAATAGCTCGGGATTCTGTGGCGAGAAACGCAGGCATAAGATTCGCCGAAACGTCAGGAACGAGCACGTAGGCATCATTGCCGAAACTGGAAAAAACAAACGACACTGAAAAGTCCTTTTAGTTTGTAATGCGTTGCTTCATCCTTACCGAAGAGCTCAACATCCTCGTCCTCCAGCACAGGAATGACGCCGAAAGGCTGCAAGGAGGAACAATTAGGTTTCAGTAAAAAAACTAGCGCGATCAATGAACCTGGATTTTGCAGTGTGTTTGATGCCGCGGGGTGGCTCTATCACGGACCTGTTTCTTCTTGAACTCGGCCGATTTCTGCTCGCCCTTGGACAAATCAATTGTCACGAATTCGTAGTCCTGCAGTGCATGTAAAGATGACAGTTGAAGGTAAGAAATTTAACGGCGCTGCGACGTAACGACTACCATGAAATTGTACTCCGAGTCGTACCGTAACATTCTTCTCTTCTAGAGCTGTAAGAACCCGTTTCGTGCAGGTCGAGAGCTTCAGACCGTATATCTTGGTCTTGCTGGCGGAAGCCATGGCGTGCACGCGACTAGGAACACGCAGTGAACTAGCGAAGGGGAGAGGAGAAACGTCGATAGCACGCGAAAACGAGACTACTCTGATAGCAGCGGCCATGAAATTTGTACATTATTAGCGCAAAGCACGTCCGTTTTGTACATCATGACATCCAGCAAATCTCGCTCAGCGGCGTTAGGCAGTAGCGCGCTGTGCATTGCTGCAGCCTGCAGCAAAAGCCGTCCTCGCGTTCCGACGTTCTAGAACCGGAGGGCATTGCTATGAGGTTTCGGCGAAGGCGAAGCGAACATCTGGCTTGGGACAACGGAGGCAGAAATTCAGCTCTTCCTCTTTTAGTTCGGTATAAGTTTTTTTCGAATTATTTTTTCCGCTTGTATGGTAAGTTGACTCCGGTATATAGAAACGATTATTCCAAGCAAGTTGATTTTTCTCTTACAGCGTGTACGATCATTCCACTGATGTTGGTCCACAATTCGTGCGAGAGAATGGGACTGGTTTGGTGTTACATTACACAGAATAAAAGGAACCTGCTGAAGGGACAGTATGAATAAAAGGAACCTGCTGATCAGATTCACTTCAAATCCTTTATCGCTTTGAATCCATCTGACACAACAGTATATGTACATGCCTACTTCATGGCAAATACTTTCTGCCATGATGGACGAGAGAAAATTCTCTCCCACCATTTGTTCACGTTAGGCCGTGACGTAATGACATCAGAATCACCACACACCCAGAGGACTGCAGTGTAGGGCAGGTGCACCAGATCAGCTAGGGAAAATGAGGAACCAGCCAGGTAGTCGTTTGCAGCCAAGTGTGCCTCGTACACATCTAGGACTTCGGAGAGCTGCAAAACGAGAGGAAATCAACGAGAGAGGCATATAAGAAAGTGGCCGCAGGTCAGACGATTGCATGGAGAAGAAGGGGAAAAGGGTGCCTTGAACAATGACGTGGCAATGCAAAAACAGGTAGAAAAGAGGATTGCCTTTTAAGCTAACCTTTGCTTTGTGTTCAGCTGCCTTGGCCTCGTCTGGGGCCAGTCCCCGCCTAGCCTTGTAAAACTTCTCAGCTAAAAGCCCCAAAATAGGAGGGTTGTAATTTTGAGACTCCACTTCCAGCCACAAATTTACCAGGGCACGCTCCTGTTGCACACATCTAGGCAGGGTAAAACATATAAAGAAGGTGCATCAGTGCTGCGCGAGTGACAGTTTCACCACTGTGGACAATCTGAGAAGGAAGAGAAACAAACATTCTCAATGGCAAAAGGATCATGCCTTGAGAGTGGAACCGAGGAGGTTCGTGCCTTGGTCAGCGTATTTGTCCGCGATATATCGCGCAATGGCTCGAGATTCTGTGGCGAACAAAACAGGCATGAGATTCATGGAAACGTCACGACTGAGCGTACATGCATCATTTACGAAACTGGAAGACTAAACACTGGAAAGAACCCTTTTTTTACCTGCTCTGCTTTGTACATACCGAAAAGCTCAACCTCCTCGTCCTCCAGCACGGGAATGAGGCCGAACGGCTGCAAGAAGGACAAATAGGGTTCAATAGAGCAATAGGCCGCGTTAGTTGACAGAAACCGTCGAACCTAAAGCATGTGAGAGTACTTGTGACGGCTGGAAGTTCTACCGCGGACCTGCTTCTTCTTGAACTCGGCCGACTTGTGCTCGCCCTTGAACACGTCCACTGTCACGAGATCATAGTCCTGCGACACATGAAACGTCGACCGATGAAGTTACATAAAATATACAATTGCTGCGGCGAACGATACCGATCAAATTGTACTCCGGGTCGTACCGTAACATTCTTCTCTTCTAGAGCTACAAGAACCCTTTTCGTGCAGGTCGAGAGTTTCAGACCGTATACTTTGGTCCTGCTGGCGGCAGCCATGGCGTACACGCGGCTGGAGACGCGGAATGGATTCGCGAATGGGAGAGGAGAAAGAGCGATAGCACGCCGTGAGAACAATAAGACACGTCAGGTAGCTGTGGCCATCATCTGCTAATGCATTATAAGCGGCGCAGAATAGATCCATTTTGTACGCCACGACATCCAGTGTACATTTCCAGGCGGTAAGCAGTCGCCTACTAAGCAACTGCGTCGGCTACTATTTAGGGTGTGGGCAGCGCGTTCATTTTCCTGGCTTAGCCCGAAACAGTTACCTCATTCAGCGGTTTGTAACCCCGATTTAGGGTAATGCGTGGACACGACGGAGTATACAGTGGATGAACTGTGGCTGTTTTCCGTGCCGTCAACCGAACAAAACACGTACCCACAACGTCCGCGAACAACCCGCGCATCATTTGAGAAAGCGTGCGAAAACGTCAGCGAAACCGCACCACGACTTCGTCAAGCGCGTACGACCCTCGCAAATCCAAGGGTTCACAAATATAGATTCCTACCGCGCCCCGTAGCCAGATCCACCAGGTCAAAAGCGTTTTGGCAAAAGCGTGGCGGGTTACATGTTGAGGGAATGACGAACCGCGGTGCTTGCTCGACCCCAATTCCAACGGGCAGTGGTTTTCCCACTACACAAGATGCCCAACCCCTGCACGCGAAATCGCCTTGCACATTCCAGAAACCTTGCACACGAAGGTTTTTTCCCGGGCAGTTGCACCCACGTTACAAGCACGTCAACCAATACGAACCACAGAAACAGAAGAGACCGAAGTCAAACAGTCAACGGTGAGTTACAAAATTTTGCTATAAGCCCTTTTTGCCCGACGCGAATTGACGAAACCTCCACGAAATGCATGAATCACTTAAGCGCCCCCTTCACAAGGCAACCTTGGGTTAGTCAAACGGACATCGTGTGTACCCCCCTAACGCGACCGCGCCCGATTCCCGCGGTCAGTTTTTCCCATCAAAACTCATTTTTCTACACTTTCAGTGATATCGTGGGCAAGCGTGATTTTCTTTGTCAATGCTGCACAATCATTACATCTTTGGCATGTTATATGCGCTGCCCACCACCGCTGTCAATGTAGCGGCGGCAATCATGAACGTCAGCGCGAAATATCTTCCTGAGCACGCGTGCACGGATTTCCATCGCTGGTCAGTCGAGAACATTCAATGTCAGAGTTACATTCAATCACAGCATGCCACATCGGACTTCATTTCGCGGGTTAAGCACCGTTGCATGCACGCCAGCAACAGTCTGTTCTTCCCTCGTCTTTACTCCTCCACTGCTTCCCCCCCGTCAACATCTCGTAAGCACCCAGTCACCATTTCCACCATCTCGTGAGCCATGAGTTTTGCCGTAATTGAGAGGCCACCATTGTTGCGCTTATTTCTGATTCATCGTAGTCTATTAGCGTAGCATAGGGTTCTCCTTTCTTGCTCTAACCATCCTCCGCTCCTTGTATTCACGCACTAATCAGTGGGTCAAAGCACCATGACGCAGACCAGGCTCTCCGCACGCAACAAGGGCCAACTAGCCGCAAGTAGCTAGCAACCCGTCGCGCGGGCGAAACGAACGAACCGTAACAGGCAGGAAGCGAGCGGTAGTAAGCAGGCTCCGTGCCCTGAATTCAAGGTTCCCCTTAAAGTTGAAGGCGTGCACGTGCTGCCCGAGCCAGACGACATTATATCGAGGTTCGCTAAAGGGGTCAGAGTTCCTGACACGGCGACCGAGAAGCTACCAAAGTCGGTCAAAAGTGACCACTTCCCTTCCCGTCAGATCAAAAACCATCACGACCAGCGAGCGACGGTCACCATCATGGATGCTCTCCACATACAGGATGGACACGAGCTGACAACGTCTATCATCGACTTTTACAACGTGTGAGTCACGTTCAACGTTTGCACTGATCTACTTATACCTGTTCATCTTGTTCATGCCGTGCCTTGTTTGGATTCTTCCAGGGTTTTGAGTCTACTTTACAGGTAGTTGCCTGACGGGAAAACTTGGTTGGCTCTTGACACCCTCGCCTACCAAAGCGTCACCGGGGGCAGGAGCTAGCATGCGGCGTCGATTGCAAACTTCTCTTCGAGCACGACTATCTTTTCATCGTTGTGTTCACCAAGTAAGATTTCAGAAGATTACGGATGGCATAGACTTCGGCTTCTACAACCTGGAGTTCCGATCCGTAGCATGCATAACACAACCTCCCTTTTGCTCCGTGGTTTTATGCAGAGTACCAGTTCAACACTTCAGCCTGGTTGTTGTCAAGGACCCCCGGCTGCTGATGCTTACCAAGGAGGAATACGATGCCCTGACGCCACCATCAGAAGTAAAGGCAGTACTGTACGATTCAGCGCGCGTGCACTTCGACATGTGCACAGCAATCTTCACAAACATCAACGAGTGAGTTTAGCGTGATGCGTATACCATTGGGGTTTGTCGCCGGTACCTTTGCCCGTGATTCTAATTCTCGGTATCGTAATCCCCTTTTCCACTTTGTGCTTCCGCAGGCTGCTTATGAGGGCCCTTAAGAATGCCAACCCTGACATGCCATGGGTGGTTGTGACAGAAAGGGTTTCACGCGTGAGCAGCCGTGCGCTTGAAGTAAGTATCTCAACAGACTGTGTTTCCCGTCCAGATGCCAGTGAAGTGCATGTCTCGGTTTCGGGTTCTTGTATTGACAGTTTTCACTACTTCTCTAATTTCTGGACCTGCAGTACTTCGAGGTGGCCCAGCAACAGAACGGGGTGGACTGCGGTGTCTACGTCTGTATGTTCGAGAAGGAGCTTGTGGGTCGAGCTTTCCAGTTCATGGAAGACGGGATCGCCCATCCACGTTACAGTGCCTTGCAATGCAGGCGCGAAATTCGTGCTCTGATGTGCGAGGCCGGAGAAGGAACACTGCTAGAATCGCTACAACTAAAGGGGGCCGACATTTCCCAACAGAGTGATCAGCACGGGGGGGAAGATAGCGAAAGCGACCAGGGAGTTGTTGAGATAAAGGAGCCAACCATTCAAGATGTAGCCGCGGAGCAGTGTTCCCATACTGCTCAGCTCAAGAACCTGCATAAAGACATGGATGCTCTCAAGGACGCCGTTTACAAG